CATTTAACTTAAGCATTTATCCATGACATAAGCTTATGACATAAAAACATGTATGTCATACCCCAATGAAATAAGTATGCAAATTAGATACGCAAATTAGATAACCGGAAGAGCGAGCGGTTTGATTTGAAACTATATATTATAAGTGAAGTTACACCAGAGATATAATCAGATTACACAGAATCGTTATTGTTACCGTTATTAAAGTTTCAATTATTCTGCAAAAGTCTGTTCGAGTAATTTGTTTAAAATAATCCGAGGAACTTTTTTTCTCAGCGAATTGTTTATTTTGGTTTACATGGCTATGGAAAACATGTATCACTACGCACGATCTATACGTAAGATTTCGAAAAGTTGCTGATGTTAATGTTTAATGCAATTATTCCTTAATTTGGAAGCAAAAATGTGAAAATGATCAATAGAATTCATCACGAGTGTTTTTTAATATGGGAAATATCAACCTCGTCCCGTTAATCGGTTGATATTTCCCATATTAAAAAACACTCGTGATGAATCCTCTATTTATTATATGCTCCATTGTTCGCCAACCTTGATATCACACAGCGGTCATGTCTACCGTACTTCCTCGATTAAACGCCCGGACGTATATTTCTTTCAGACACTCTTTACCCCCGGCGTTAATGACCATTGATTTCTAGGCACAAAGTGTTTGTAAAAGAAATCTCATTTGCAAAAAAGTCGCGACTGCAATTTGGCCATCCTCATCAATATTCGTATTTCGTGAGCAAAGCCATAATCTTTGACATCGAGACATGAACTTGAAAGACAGTAATAATCATTTCCAATCTTCCATTTCAAGAGGTCACATCATGTGAGTGACTGTGTCGCATCCTTGGACTAGGTTCCTGACTCCACTTGTCCCGCTGTGATGGTACTGAAACCGTTGTTGACTGTGATGTGAAATACCCATTAAGCATGGTTTACCCTTACTTGGAAACAAATAAACATAAACATACTTGTATTGTCAAAAGAAATGAATCATATATCAACATCATTACAATAAATAAAGCGAAAAACCTGTCCATATCCAATTGAAATCTTTGCCTAAAACAGAGTCGATTGTACAATTCCAACACTATCATGAGCATGTGTTTATGAATCACTATCAAATAGTGATGATACAAGGTTTTCGCTTAAATATGAACGTATCCTGCACTCCGATGGCACCCGTCACAAACACATGCAAAGGCAAGTCACTTGTTCACCCGGAAAACCACATGGGGAACATATGGCACAAGTCAAAATAATGAATTGCATGGGACAACATTTTTGTTACTGAGTCAAATCTTGAAATGTCCTCCACATGTCTACCATAAAACTTTTTGAAAAGCTTTACTGAGGCCTTGGATGCTGTAAACTTGATCAAACAACTTCTGAGCAAGAGTCACATGACGCTCTTTGAGATGTTGGTAGAGAGAGCATGCTCGATTGTAATTCAAAAATTGTCAAATTTAAACACCAAAGGCTGGAGCTGCTGGACTATTGCTCGACATAAAGGGAAAGTTAACTACTGGAAAGTTGAAGTCATCAATATTGTCATACAGTCTTGTGGAGAGTGTTTTGTCACTCTGAATCATAATGCATAGATCTAAATATGAAACAGATGAGGCGGTGTGACTGGTCTCCTTTATTTCTAGGTCAGGTGGGTAAATCTGTGGAAGGGAATTGGCAATTTGATTGTTATTGAACAAAATCAGAGCACCAATGTACATTAAGCTCGGATAAACTTCTTGGTCAGTTACCTTGTTTGGACTTTGCCAATCACAGCAGAAATTCTGATTCATATGCATTAAAACACAGATTCGAAAGAAGGGAATCACAATTGGTGCCCAGGGTGATGAAGGAGAACGAAAGAGAAGGTATAGTGTCCACAGCTTGGAGGATGCATGGGGTCAGTTGGTCAGAATGTCATAATTGTCAGTCAGTATTGCGTATCAATGGGAATCAATGCTAGGCCAAACTCGATAATGAGAAGTTGTGATACGTCTGATCACAAGACATGGGTTTCAATACCATTTTTCTCAGAGGGCCTGTTCAAACTGATCCTTGTAACAAGGGTGACCTAGCCGTACTCTAATTTGACGGTCAAGAGTTCAATAGGTGATAAATCTGGTGATTGTGCTGGCCAAGTCAGGATGTTTTGTGGGGCCCTGTGTTATCTTGTTGAAACAGGGTCTGTCCTGTTCTGTTGTAACAAAGGTAGTACAATAGGGTAGAGAGACTGGTCATTGTAATGATGTCCAGTGATGTTTGCTTCCAAAATTACCAGATCTGTCTTGACTTGGCTATAAATGCTGAATTGCGATATTAATGATTCCCAAATGACAGGGCTGAAGATGCTACATTGCAGGACTAAAGATGCTACATTGCAGGACTAAAGATGCTACATTGCAGGACTAAAGATGCTACATTGCACGACTAAAGATGCTGCATTGCAGGACTAAAGATACTACATTGCAGGACTAAATATGTTGCATTGCAGGACTAAAGCTGCTACACTGCAGGACTAATGTTGCCGCATTGACGGGGCTACAGATGCTGCCACCTCCAAACGGCTCGGCAGCATGAATACAACAACTTCTCCTTGCCGGAGGTTGACACACATTCTTACATCTGCCAGGAAAAAAGCTTGAATCTGCTCTCTCCTGTGAACATGGCTCTTTGCCAGTTTGTTCTCTTAGCGTTGCAGTTTCAGCCTTATGTCTCGTAGTTGTCTGCAAGCTCTGTTGTACCGACGCAATTTTCTATACTTGAATCGAACTCGGACATGATACAAGCCTATATGGCCTCTAATCTTTTCCGGGAACTTGTTCCATAAAAGGGAAAACTCATGAATATCAATGACCCCACGACCAAGTTTTGCTATGTTGTGAGTTCTGCTGTAGTTTCTATGCATTTGTACATTCTAATCCAAAAGTAACAATAGTTATTTTAAATAGACAAAATAGTAGTTCACCATACAGGTTTTAGACGTAGTACATATTCTCTACAAGTGCGTTTAGTTTCTTTCGATTTGGCAAGCGGAGTTAGCTCCCTTCTCGAACCACCGGTAATGCGTTTTCGCCAAACTATCTGATCGATAATCAAGATTTTATTTGGTAATAAAACGGGTGTAACCTCGCGAAGTGCGTCAAATCATTTGAGCTAGTTGATTAAAAACAAGACGCACAGTTGACGGTACACATGCTTTGTAAATCCTGCAGTCCAACGAAATGTGTATGTTAAAATTCATGTTGTTTACGAACAGGATGTCTAATTCGTAACGCGATTTTGATTGGACTATGCGCAGACTTGTTAGTCCAGGCAAATCTCTGGAATTCCAGCCTAGTTCGGCAAGTATTGAAACTGTACTTTTATTGTCAGTTACCTCCCTTGCCTCGGGAAGACGGTTGGGGAAGGAGGCCTGCCACTCCTCGGCCTGTTTCTCTTCCGTTTGTCTGCCTGAATCAGGCCGTGTGCCTAGCTGGTGATTATCATTCGTCCACGGCAAAACTCGTTGCGACGCGGTCACGCGTTGCTCCTTTGTGTATCATACCAACATCCATCTTTCCGAGGCAAGAGAGTTAACTGTCTTTAAAAGTCCAGTTTCCACCCTTGCCGAACTAGGCTGGAATTCCTGGGCTCGATCGTAGCGCCACCAGTGGCTATTAGCAGTTATGTCCCTTCTAAGCCTCTCCTATGGACCAATCAGATTTCACCTCTCGTATCACTTGCATTTGCTTCAAACGGAATGGCGGCGCCAAGTCAGTAAGATCTGCCCGATAATCAAGATCAATATTGTGATAAAACGGGTCTTACGTCGCGAAATGCATCGAATCACATGAGCAGTTTGATTAAAAACATAAAAAGATTTTGAAAATATCTGTTGACAAAGCGTTGGCGGTGCACATGCTTTGCAAATCCAGCAATCGACCGAAATCTGCACGACAGTTTACGAACCGAATTTCGATTTCGTTGCGCTATTTTGATTGGACTATGCATAGACTCGTTAGTCCAGCCAAACTGTAACTCCATAATACCAGCCAAGTTCCGTAAGGGTGGAGACTGGACTTATACAGTCAGTGAACTCTCTTGCCTCTGCTGTAGCGTAAATCCAAAGACGTACATATATCTATATGTCTGTGGTTAATCTTATCATGCGTCTGTCCAGCGGTTTGGGTGAGTGAGTGAGTTGGGTTTAACGTCGTTTTAAACAGTATTCCAGTTATATTTCGCGGCGTGTCAGCTTAATGTGGAAGGAAAGCCCGAAGTGACGCAGGCCTTAGACGTTTACCACTTTGGTATGGTGCTGACAAACCTAGAAAAATAATCGGGGCGAACCGGGATTAGAACCCACAATCATAGATATCTGGCGTACCCAAGGGACGCAGTTCTGCACTTCGAATCGCGGCGCCTTAGACGACTGGGCCACCCGTGCCCCATATCTTTGTTGGTTGGCATGCTGTAAGTGCAGCCAAAGTTTCACTTCAAACTCAAGTTTCCTTGATCTGGGTTCGGTAGCACATTCATACCTCAGTAAATTGTTTTGGTTGTGTTTAGGCGATTGATTCTGAACCATTTTGTAACACTGTTCGGGGTTTGGACCCAACGTGTCCACATTCGTCATTTTACATCTAAAGTTATGATGAAGCGATGATGAGTAATCTTTAGTAACATTCGCTCCGAACAATTGAGTGAGTGAGTGAGTAGGCCATTTTTAGCAATATTCCAGCAATATCACGGCGGGGGACACCGGAAATGGGCTTCACTCATTGTACCCATATCGGGAATCGAACCCGGGTCATCGGCGTGACGAGCGAACGCTTTAAACACTGGGCAATACGTTATAAATGTACAATTGTCCCAGTGGAAATGACAAAACTTACAAATTCAAGTTATCTTAGTAGATAACAGGTGAAGAACTCGTAAAAGTATTTTATCGCGACAGCTGTAGCCAGTTTTTAAGCGCATTCCGATTTAGGCTTGAGGCGACCGTTGATATCGAAATCGTTCTCCGCTGCCATTCATCGTGACGCTTGACAGCGGCGTCGCCGGAGCCACAAGGCTGTTCATTGCTGGTAAGGTATGCCGTTATATGGTCGCTGTCGTAGCTTTCTGTTACGTCTGCCAGAGAATTCCCTCCATCAATGCCTGCTTTTTCACAGGCCAAGGTTCACTCCAGTCTAGCTTGTGCAAAACAGGGCCCGCCGCGACGAAATATTCGGTTGTCAGATACATGCTTATTGTAACAGGGCCCAGCAAAGTTGCGCTGTCTGGAGTTCCTTGCGGTGTTGTAGCGTTTAGTCTCCATCAGACCCTCTCGCCTATGAAATTGACAGGAATCACCGAGGCCTATCACGTAATTGAGATCAGGACAAGGGATAGGATACTGAATGTCCAGCAGAACTGCCAATCACGCTCCTGCCACTGTAAGTTCATACATTTTGACATACTTCACACGCTTAAAAGTTGCTCTTGGCCATGCTGCAAACTATCGCATTTACTGTTAAGATTGCACCGTCGCTGTTTCGCTCTACTTGGCCAGTATCGACTGCAGCCATGTTATATCGCTCTATTACACACAGCTTCGATTTCGTTATTTACCGTACTTCCGGGAATAAACATTAAACTATATTTGATTGTTTGTGTCTTGAGGTCGAATGTAAGTTAGGAGACTTGTTAAAATTCTTATACTTCATATGCAGTAGATCTACCTGAAAAGTATTATTGTATTTTATTTTTTATTTAAATTTAATTTGATATATTTGCCAATGTGATTTATTTTTGAAAATACTGTATCATTTTTATTTAATTGAATATATTTTAAATAATATTGTTGATTGGATTTTTATTCATTATGATTAAATGAGATGCCAATCAAATGCTAACATGACCCATTCTGTGTAATTAGATCCTTACATATTTGTTATGATCTCTGTAGGAAACAAATATGGCTGCAATGACCACAATAAGGATCTTTGGGTACCTATAATAACAACATGATCACTATGCAAACGAGTGCAGGGGCCAGAATACCCAGAATAGCAGAAAAGCAATTCCTTACACCTAAAATAAGTACAATTTGTTTTACACCTAAAAAGAAGCACTATTTGTTTTTTACACCTAAAAAGAAGCACAATTTTTGGCACCTAAAAAAAAAGCACTTTTAATTTTATTTTTTTAGGTAAACCTCATTTTAACATCTATGTGGTAAATTATTAATTCAAACTCTATATGATCGAACATGATAGTTATTTTGTAACTTGATTATCGAAATCTTTATGCACTTTAGGATTTTAGTTGTAGATAGTATATCAAGTTTGTTGACATGATGCACGTTGTTAATATAGTCTGTCAACGAAGATTGAAAGACTAATAATGTTAATAAAAGGTGGCCCAGTCATCTTAGGTGCAGCGATTCACTGTGCAGAATTGCGTTCCTTGGGCATGCCAGAAACCTATGATTGTGGGTACGAATCCCGGTTCGCCCCGATTATGTTTTTTAAGTATGTCAGCACCATACCTGTGCTCGTGGGTTTCACTGAAGTGGTAAACATCCGAGACCTGCATCACTTTGGGCTTTCCTCCCACATTAAGCTAACACGCAGTGATCGTACTGGAATACTGTGAAAAGCGGCGTTAAAAACAACTCACACTCACTCAATTGTGGAAAAATATTGTCTCAGATAACAAAAGGCTCAGAAAGAATATGATGAGGGGTTAATGGTGGCATTTGTGAAGCTTCAATTTGCTGTGGAGAGTTTCATTCATCAGGCGTGCCAGAAACCTATGATTGTCGGTTTGCCTTTATTATGATACTAGGTTTGTCAGCACCATACCCTGGGTTTAACCTAAGTGGAAAACATCTCAGACCTGCATCACTTTGGGCTTTCCTCCCACATGAAGATGTAGTTGGTTTACTGTCCAAAGAGGCGCTAAACCAAACTCACTCACTCACACTTATGATGAAATCATATTTTGTTCAAATTGTCAGAATGTTAGTTTTGGTTATTACTCTTAAATACTTGAAAAGGAAATATTTGAATGTCATTGCTCATCTTTGTAACATGGTTGTCTTTTTTAACAATGTAAGCTTTTGACTACATGTGCAGGTGAACTACAGTTCCATGGCACTGTTTTTTAAGTACATCACTTTGACCTAGTTGAAATGTTGTGTAGATGATAATGATCATTAGGCACCATCATCTGCACTCAAATTTCAGTCCCAGACAAATCCTGCGGTAAAATTATCAAAATCCTGTGGTAAAATTATCAAAATTCTGCTGTAAAATTATCAAAATCCTGTGGTAAAATATCAAAATCCTGCGGTAAATTTATCAAAATCCTGTGGTAAAATTATCAAAATCCTGCTGTAAAATTACCAAATTTCTGTGGTTAAAATTACAAAATTCTGCAGTAAACTTTGCAGTAATAACATTACCATTTTCCCTCAAACAATGATACAAACTCATTTCAATTTTTGTTTGTTTAATTTCTTGCATTCAGACATTTTAAGACATATACATATGCATAGTATCTGATATTTATTTATGGTTACACATAAACATAGTTTATGTAATTGTAATACCACAAGAACATTTAAAAGTGAGGATGCTATTTTTCAAATTTTGTTTCATTGTAGGATTCATATTTTGTATCCTTGAATCGCATGTTAAATGTTAGGGCATCATTTGAGTGCAAAGTTTCGATAGAAGAACTTGAAAATAATGAAAATTTGTCTATTGCTTGATGAAAAGGGCAAATTCATTTACATTTTCCGGAAATCTTTCTGCGATCACAGAATTGCTGAATTCATGGTTGACTGAAGTTTTAAGTTCAATGTGTCAATCATTTCAGACAATTATTCAGTGTAAAATTCAGCACACTTTGAATACACCTGGTGAACCCCAGTGCCTGGGACACTATTTATGCATGTAATGCACAACAGCTAACAGCAATATTTTTCAGGGTTTTAAGTTATGCATAAATGTGCATCCAGTATACATAAATGGTGAGATTGGACTCAAAACTAAAATACTGCATTCTGAGGCACGCACAGTAATATTCATTGTGCCTACAGCACATCAAGAGCGTTTATAGGTGTCTGGTAATTTCACTCATCAATCAAGACCACTGTGCACATGATCATTAATTCATTCCAGACTTGGAAGTAATTATCAAAACATACCAAACACTATGTCACCATTTTGTTACTTTATAGGACCTTCATGTTCCCTGCAAGGACCCTCAAAATTGATTTTTGTCAAGGTCAAACCCTGATTTTTGTACCTATACAAGTCAATATTTTCACAGTTAAATGTTTTAGTTTTGGAAACAAGAGTATCTTCAAACAAAAAGATAACCGCTTGAGTTACTATTCGGTAAAAAAATGTTTCCCTCCCAAAATGTAGACATCGGATCATAGAGACAGAAAAAACTACATAATTAATGTTATGAATATGCCCGTTTTCCCTCAACTGACCTCTAGTTATTAAATAAATTGGCTGGTGTAATAAATTTCTTTGTTTTCTTAACAAGTTATCTTCTCTTTAAAGCTATATCATACTGGATTCGTCATCTGAAGTAAACAATTTTGTAATCTTAACTACACTGAATTTTACAAATAAATCCTAATTTCAGCAGGTATTGTGTCTTTGACTTGTACTGGTTTCTTGCATCAAATTGTTATGACAGTGATTACAACCCAGCAGGCACAACAATGTTAATGTTGAATCATGTCGTGCTTCAACATTGTTATGACAGTGATTGCAACCCAGCAGGCACAACAATGTTAATGTTGAATCATGTCGTGCTTCAACATTGTTATGACAGTGATTGCAACCCAGCAGGCACAACAATGTTAATGTTGAATCATGTCATGCTTCAACATTGTTATGACAGTGATTGCAACCCAGCAGGCACAACAATGTTAATGTTGAATCATGTCGTGCTTCAACATTGTTATGACAGTGATTGCAACCCAGCAGGCACAACAATGTTAATGTTGAATCATGTCGTGATTCAACATTGTTATGACAGTGATTGCAACCCAGCAGGCACAACAATGTTAATTAATGTTGAATCATGTCGTGCTTCAACATTGTTATGACAGTGATTGCAACCCAGCAGGCACAACAATGTTAATTAATGTTGAATCATGTCGTGCTTCAACATTGTTATGACAGTGATTGCAACCCAGCAGGCACAACAATGTTAATGTTGAATCATGTCGTGCTTCAACATTGTTATGACAGTGATTGCAACCCAGCAGGCACAACAATGTTAATGTTGAATCATGTCGTGATTCAACATTGTTATGACAGTGATTGCAACCCAGCAGGCACAACAATGTTAATGTTGAATCATGTCATGCTTCAACATTGTTATGACAGTGATTGCAACCCAGCAGGCACAACAATGTTAATTAATGTTGAATCATGTCGGGCTTCAACATTGTTATGACAGTGATTGCAACCCAGCAGGCACAACAATGTTAATGTTGAATCATGTCGTGCTTCAACATTGTTATGACAGTGATTGCAACCCAGCAGGCACAACAATGTTAATGTTGAATCATGTCATGCTTCAACATTGTTATGACAGTGATTGCAACCCAGCAGGCACAACAATGTTAATGTTGAATCATGTCGTGCTTCAACATTGTTATGACAGTGATTGCAACCCAGCAGGCACAACAATGTTAATGTTGAATCATGTCGTGCTTCAACATTGTTATGACAGTGATTGCAACCCAGCAGGCACAACAATGTTAATGTTGAATCATGTCGTGCTTCAACATTGTTATGACAGTGACTGCAACCCAGCAGGCACAACAATGTTAATGTTGAATCATGTCGTGATTCAACATTGTTATGACAGTGATTGCAACCCAGCAGGCACAACAATGTTAATGTTGAATCATGTCGTGCTTCAACATTGTTATGACAGTGATTGCAACCCAGCAGGCACAACAATGTTAATTAATGTTGAATCATGTCGTGCTTCAACATTGTTATGACAGTGATTGCAACCCAGCAGGCACAACGATGTTAATGTTGAATCATGTCTTGCTTCAATATTGTTATGACAGTGATTGCAACCCAGCAGGCACAACAATGTTAATGTTGAATCATGTCATGCTTCAACATTGTTATGACAGTGATTGCAACCCAGCAGGCACAACAATGTTAATTAATGTTGAATCATGTCGTGCTTCAACATTGTTATGACAGTGATTGCAACCCAGCAGGCACAACAATGTTAATGTTGAATCATGTCGTGCTTCAACATTGTTATGACAGTGATTGCAACCCAGCAGGCACAACAATGTTAATGTTGAATCATGTCGTGATTCAACATTGTTATGACAGTGATTGCAACCCAGCAGGCACAACAATGTTAATGTTGAATCATGTCATGCTTCAACATTGTTATGACAGTGATTGCAACCCAGCAGGCACAACAATGTTAATTAATGTTGAATCATGTCGGGCTTCAACATTGTTATGACAGTGATTGCAACCCAGCAGGCACAACAATGTTAATGTTGAATCATGTCGTGCTTCAACATTGTTATGACAGTGATTGCAACCCAGCAGGCACAACAATGTTAATGTTGAATCATGTCATGCTTCAACATTGTTATGACAGTGATTGCAACCCAGCAGGCACAACAATGTTAATGTTGAATCATGTCGTGCTTCAACATTGTTATGACAGTGATTGCAACCCAGCAGGCACAACAATGTTAATTAATGTTGAATCATGTCGTGCTTCAACATTGTTATGACAGTGATTGCAACCCAGCAGGCACAACAATGTTAATGTTGAATCATGTCGTGCTTCAACATTGTTATGACAGTGATTGCAACCCAGCAGGCACAACAATGTTAATGTTGAATCATGTCGTGATTCAACATTGTTATGACAGTGATTGCAACCCAGCAGGCACAACAATGTTAATGTTGAATCATGTCATGCTTCAACATTGTTATGACAGTGATTGCAACCCAGCAGGCACAACAATGTTAATTAATGTTGAATCATGTCGGGCTTCAACATTGTTATGACAGTGATTGCAACCCAGCAGGCACAACAATGTTAATGTTGAATCATGTCGGGCTTCAACATTGTTATGACAGTGATTGCAACCCAGCAGGCACAACAATGTTAATGTTGAATCATGTCATGCTTCAACATTGTTATGACAGTGATTGCAACCCAGCAGGCACAACAATGTTAATGTTGAATCATGTCATGCTTCAACATTGTTATGACAGTGATTGCAACCCAGCAGGCACAACAATGTTAATTAATGTTGAATCATGTCTTGCTTCAACATTGTTATGACAGTGATTGCAACCCAGCAGGCACAACAATGTTAATGTTGAATCATGTCGTGCTTCAACATTGTTATGACAGTGACTGCAACCCAGCAGGCACAACAATGTTAATGTTGAATCATGTCGTGATTCAACATTGTTATGACAGTGATTGCAACCCAGCAGGCACAACAATGTTAATGTTGAATCATGTCGTGCTTCAACATTGTTATGACAGTGATTGCAACCCAGCAGGCACAACAATGTTAATTAATGTTGAATCATGTCAGGCTTCAACATTGTTATGACAGTGATTGCAACCCAGCAGGCACAACAATGTTAATGTTGAATCATGTCTTGCTTCAATATTGTTATGACAGTGATTGCAACCCAGCAGGCACAACAATGTTAATGTTGAATCATGTCATGCTTCAACATTGTTATGACAGTGATTGCAACCCGGCAGGCACAACAATGTTAATTAATGTTGAATCATGTCAGGCTTCAACATTGTTATGACAGTGATTGCAACCCAGCAGGCACAACAATGTTAATGTTGAATCATGTCGTGCTTCAATATTGTTATGACAGTGATTGCAACCCAGCAGGCACAACAATGTTAATGTTGAATCATGTCATGCTTCAACATTGTTATGACAGTGATTGCAACCCAGCAGGCACAACAATGTTAATTAATGTTGAATCATGTCGGGCTTCAACATTGTTATGACAGTGATTGCAACCCAGCAGGCACAACAATGTTAATGTTGAATCATGTCTTGCTTCAACATTGTTATGACAGTGATTGCAACCCAGCAGGCACAACAATGTTAATTAATGTTGAATCATGTCAGGCTTCAACATTGTTATGACAGTGATTGCAACCCAGCAGGCACAACAATGTTAATTTTGAATAATGTCGGGCTTCAACATTGCTATGACAGTGATTGCAACCCGGCAGGCACAACAATGTTAATTAATGTTGAATCATGTCGTGCTTCAACATTGAAATGACAGTGATTTTTTAAATGACAGTGAGGTTGAAATGTCAATGTTGAATCAACATCAGATATCAATGTTGAAACAATGTCCTTTACTGAAGGACCAACAACAAGCTCTCTGCTGTCTCCTGACAGAGAATAACCAACATCAGACTGTTCTGTTCACTGAAGGACCAACAACAAATTCTCTGCCGTCTCCTGACAGAGAATAACCAACACCAAACTGTTCTGTTCACTGAAGGACCAACAACAAGCTCTCTGCTGTCCCCTTACAGAGAATAACCAACATCAAACTGTTCTGTTCACTGAAGGACCAACTAACATCTCTCTGCCGTCTCCTGACAGAGAATAACCAACATCAAACTGTTCTGTTCACTGAAGGACCAACATCAAGTTCTCTGCTGTCCCCTGACAGAGAATAACCAACATCAAACTGTTCTGTTCACTGAAGGACCACCAACAAGTTCTCTGCCGTCTCCTGACAGAGAATAACCAAGATCAAACTGTTCTGTTCACTGAAGGACCAACATCAAGCTCTCTGCTGTCTCCTGACAGAGAATAACCAACATCAGACTGTTCTGTTCACTGAAGGACCAACAACAAGTTCTCTGCCATCTCCTGACAGGGAATAACCAACACCAAACTGTTCTGTTCACTGAAGGACCAACTAACATCTCTCTGCCGTCTCCTGACAGAGAATAACCAACATCAAACTGTTCTGTTCACTGAAGGACCAACATCAAGTTCTCTGCTGTCCCCTGACAGAGAATAACCAACATCAAACTGTTCTGTTCACTGAAGGACCACCAACAAGTTCTCTGCCGTCTCCTGACAGAGAATAACCAACATCAAACTGTTCTGTTCACTGAAGGACCAACAACAAGTTCTCTGCCGTCTCCTGACAGAGAATAACCAACACCAAACTGTTCTGTTCACTGAAGGACCAACAACAAATTCTCTGCTGTCCCCTGACAGAGAATAACCAACATCAGACTGTTCTGTTCACTGAAGGACCAACATCAAGTTCTCTGCTGTCCCCTGACAGAGAATAACCAACATCAAACTGTTCTGTTCACTGAAGGACCAACAACAAATTCTCTGCTGTCCCCTGACAGAGAATAACCAACATCAGACTGTTCTGTTCACTGAAGGACCAACATCAAGTTCTCTGCTGTCCCCTGACAGAGAATAACCAACATCAAACTGTTCTGTTCACTGAAGGACCAACAACAAGTTCTCTGCTGTCCCCTGACAGAGAATAACCAACATCAGACTGTTCTGTTCACTGAAGGACCACCAACAAGCTCTCTGCCGTCTCCTGACGGAGACTTACAGAGAAAAAATGAAAATGAAAAGCAGTGGTACTATAAACAAAACTTGTTGAAAATGTTTTTGAAAAACTTGAAAACACCACAAGATGGTACAAATCGCGACAGAACTGTGTGGATAATGAAATTGAAGCAGCCCTAAACTTGTTTCTTTTTTCCCTACCAACTTAACGTTTTGAAGGAATTAAAAAAGAAATATTTGAATATGGAATTATTTTATTTTATATTTTTGACCAACCAACCTGAATTTTGGGGGCAAAATTTCATAAACCCCCGTAAGTGGTCTGACCTATATCATCTCAATAGGTAGGTACTGTAGTTGGTTGTTGTCGCAAACAGCACTATTCCAGATATATGATGGAGGTCTGTAAATAATCAAGTCTGGACCAGACAATCCAGTGATTAACATCATGAGCATCGATCTACGCAATTGTGATACAATGACATGTATTAACCAAGTCAGCGAGCCTGACCCCGTTAGTTGCCTCTTATGACAAGCATAGTCGCCTTTTACGGTAAGCATGGGTTGCTGAAGACCTATTCCACCCCGGATCTTCTCAGGTCTACTGTAGTTAGTAAGTGGAGATTATACAACAGCTCATCTCATGCCTTGGCGTACAAAGATACCAGTTTCAATATAACCTGTGTTTAAATTATTATATATATTTTCATGTCCTGACAAGCCAACAGCTGGTGTGGAAAAAATAACTGAATCATAGACTGTCTCCAATGCATCCAAGCATTGACATATAGCTGCACAAGTATGTCTAGGCTGGTACAATGGCCTCGGTCCACGACTACACTGAAGAGGACAATTGGTGGATGTGTTCTGCCAGAGCTTCAAGCAGGTAGACAATCAGTCTTTTTTTATATGGTTTCCTTTAGGGGGAAGATCAAAGTATCACGTTAGATAAAAATGTTAATTCCTTAAACTCTGGGGTAGGGTTGTTTAAGATGTGCATGTTTCAATATGACAAAATCAGCTTTTCAGGGTTTTCACAGTACATGTCAAGAAATAACAGTTCAGACTATCATATTTCAGGGCTGTAAGTAATGTTTTGATCCACTGAGTATGTTTTCATATGTTATCCACCAGGGCTGGGATGGGTAACTCGGGTACTCGGGTTGGGTGGGTACTGAGAAGGACCTGGGTACCCACAGGACTACCCAGACCCATGGTTAGCAGGGATGGGACGGGTAACCAGGGTATTCGGGTCTGGTGGGTACTGAGAAGGACCTGGGCACCCACAGGACTACCCAGACCCGTGGTTAGTAGGGCTGGGATGGGTAACTCGGGTATTCGGGTCTGGTGGGTACTGAGAAGTACCTGGGCACCCACAGGACTACCCAGACCCGTGGTTAGTAGGGCTGGGATGGGTAACTCGGGTATTCAGGTCTGGTGGGTACTGAGAAGGACCTGGGTACCCACAGGACTACCCAGACCAGTGGTTAGTCATGTGATATATTTTTTAATGACAAAATTGATCCAGAACTATATGGTTACCCTAAAAGTCACTAATATTGATATTTCTTTCTGACTATGCACCCATTCCTTCTGATTTTTTTATGTTTAAATAAAGAAAAACCTTCAGTCAAACGTTTTATACGTATAGCTAAATACATTTTGACCAGGACTATGGTCAAACTATTCCCAGTCGGACACCTTGTACCCATCTCTTGAGAGCTACAGCAGGTACCCGGGTAGGGTAATAGAGGGGTGGGTACCCAGGTAGTAAATTTGGACTTGTCCCTGTGAGCCGTATTATCCACATTGGGCCCTGATAGCTTTCAGCTCACCTTGACATGACCAAGACATTGCTATGTGTGCTTAATCTATGGGTCTTTGTCCATCTGTCCATTAGCATGGAACTTTAAATCTCCTCTTCTGCAAATCTACAAGCATATCAATATAATTTTCACAAAACATGTTCTACATGTACCTACGATGACAATGTAAACTGTTCACTTTGAAACATTGAAAATGGCCGTTGCATGGACTAAATTTAGGTATAAAAAAGCCTTCGTGCAAACCTCTTCTTTTGTTTGTTTGATTGTTGTTTAATGCCACACATTCAGCATTATTCCAACTATATGACAGTGGTCTGTAAGTAATCGAGTCAAGGATCATGGATTCTTGGAAATATTTTTCTCTTTCCTAATACACTTATAATTCTTGGTTACAGATATTTGAATGTACTTATTTTGGTGAAAAATGGAGCAAATAAAAAAGATTACCTTGTAATGCATAACAAAGGAATATTGATAATTAATTATGGCCATATTTACCACTAAAGCTAAAGTTGATTAATTACATATGTATTAATTTGAACTCTAGTGTGAAAAATGTGTTATGCTTGAATGAACCTTTTCAGATGCAATGTTTGTGATTATGTATTTTGCACCATCAGTAATTGAAATGCACTGTCCGGATCTGGAAACCAGATTCTGGATAAAAGAAGCATTTTGTGTAGTATTTATTTTGTATAACATAAATATTGTCTGGTAGGTGAAGCTTCCGTGTGTCTGGTGTTGGATAAGGGGGATTTCAGTGTAATTAAGAAATACATGAAGAGTGGGAGTTGTTTATCGTACAATACTTATAAAACACTGCAGTGTTTTATTGTACGATAGACAACGACAACGAGTCGTGCATGTTTTTCACAAATACGCAGTGTATTTGGAGATCTGTGTTTTGTGAACTGTTGAAGATGCTTCAAATAGATTTATGTGCATAAGGCATAAAGTAGATGGTACATTGATCAGTGAAATTAATGTAATATGGTGATAAATTCTCTCCAATATAATTTGATTAGAGAATTGCCTGAATTATTGCAGAATTCATATCCCCAAATCTCAGTTGTATGTGATTCTAGGATGTGTCAGATAGAATGTTTTAGGAGTTATTTTTGTGTGCTTTTTTTTGCAGGAAACAGTGTGAGGTTATCTGTTTATAGAGTCCCGAGATTGCTGAAGGGAAAGAGCAGTTTCCCCTGTTTGCAGAGCATTGTGGTAGGTCATTGCAGCTGTAGTAACAAGGAAACAATTATTACAGCTGTAGTAGCAAGGAAACAATTATTAAAGCTGTAGTATTTAGGAAACAAATATTACAGCTGGAGTATCAAGGAAACAATTATAAGCTGTAGTGGCCAGGAAACAATTGTTACAGCTGTAGTATCAAGGAAACAATTATTACAACTGTAGTAGCAAGGAAACAATTATTAAAGCTGTAGTATTTAGGAAACAATTATTACAGCTGGAGTATCAAGGAAACAATTATTAGCTGTAGTGGCCAGGAAACAATTATTACAGCTGTAGTAGCAAGGAAACAATTATTACAGCTGGAGTATCAAAGAAACAATTATTACAGCTGTAGTATCAAGGAAATAATTATTACAGCTGTAGTAGCAAGGAAACAATTATTACAGATGAAGTATCAAGGAAACAATAATTATAGCTGTAGTGTCAAGGAAACAATTATTACAACTGTAGTATCAAGGAAACACTTATTACATCTGTAGTAGCAAGGAAACAATTATTACATCTGTAGTAGCAAGGGAAACGATTATTACAGCTGTAGTATCAAGGAAACAATGGCTTTATATGTTCATCATTGTGTTATTTTGGTTTAAACATGACATCTGTTTGGTACATTTCTGCAAATTTTGGATTCTGTAATTAAAAAAATAAAAAAAATAAAAATTCATCAATAAGAATTTTTATTCGCAGAAAAAGTACCATCTGCTATGTTTCTCCTGCATGGTTACAATTCAACAGAGCATTTCAGAAGATTAATTCTTTTTGAGACAGCAACATTAACCCCTTCACTGCTTCTACAGAGGCATACAAGTACCTGTCCCACAACCCTCAAAGCAAACACTGTAAGCAACTCGGGGATGACTCTGGATGTGGAATGGTCAGATGGCTCCAAGTCAAGGTAAACCGTAACATGCTTATAATATTTTCTACTTATATATAAAACTTGTGTTTGGGCGGTGGGGAAGCCTAGGGGTTAAGGCATTCGCTTGTCCTACCCGGATGTGATTCCCTACACATGGACAGTGTGTGAAGCTCATTTCTGGTGTCCCCTGACATGATGTTGCCGGAATATTGGAAGTAAAGCCGTAGTCACTCACTCAATCACTGTTTAACTCACTCAATCACTGTTTAACTCACTCAATCACTGAATAACTCACTCAATCACTGTTTAATTCACTAAATCACTGTTTAACTCACTCAATCACTGTTTAACTCACACAATCACTGTTTAATTCACTAAATCACTGTTTAACTCACTCAATCACTGTTTAACTCAGTCAATCACTGATTAACTCCCTCAATCACTGTTTAACTCACTCAATCACTGTTTAACTCACGCAATCACTGTTTAACTCACTCAATCACTGTTTAATTCACTAAATCACTGATTAACTCCCTCAATCACTCATTAACTCACCCAATCACTCATTAACTAACTCACACTTGAGTAATTGGCTCTTCTTTTCTTATTGAATGTTTCATAAGAGTGAGCAAGTTAATGTTGTTTTGTGCAACAGTGATAAATTTTCATGCTGAGGACTACCAATATACTATATATTTTTGGGTACATGTCAAGCTTTTAAGACCCAAAACCTGGTCACTGATAAGTTCAGTTCAGCCAATAACCTAAACAAATGTTCCGTGACATGTGTCTACAATGAGATCAGATAAAACCTGCCACTACATAATTTAACAGTCCGTTGCCTGTATATACAATGATTATGTATGGGAGAAATGTTATTACAAACCTGTAACAAAACTCCATAATTTTCGATTTATGTTTGGTAAAAAATGTACATATGAACATGATGACCTTTGTGTGAGCGCGTATTGTTTTAGGATGATTTTTGCAATATTCCAGCAGTATCATGGCAGGTTACACCAGAAATGGGCTTAGCATATTTTGCCCACGGGGAATCGAACCCAGCCTTCTGCTTGAAGGGCCAACACTTTAGCCACTAGGCTACCCCACTGCCCCCCGTAATGAGCTTGGAGAAAGGGTCAAAATGATTGATTATTACACTCAGCCATGCTCCTTGGAGACGACAAAGTAATATCTCCAGCTTTCTGTTGGAATGTATACTCCATCTAAAATTATCTTATGAACAAAATTGGCACGCAGCTCTTTCATCAAGCTCAAAATCAATTCTTTACAGTTTATTCAAAACAAATTTCGGCTTAGAAACATATTTAAAAGAATTATCAATTTTTAAATATAGACGTGCCCTTGTGCAATTTAGATGCTGTTGTCACCAGCTCCGAGATGTGACTGGGAGGTATAAAAAAAGAGTTAAAATCTGAGAGGTTGTGTCTTGCTTGCAATCAAAATCAAATTGAAGATGAATTTCATTTTATAATAATTTGTGATCGATATGTACATTCAAGACGAAAATATATACCCAAAAAGTTTTACCTGTACCCCTCCATAATATTTTAATGGCATCAAATAATGTATTAATCATTCAAAATCTATCCGTATTCATCTACAAAGCAATGAAACTATGTCTTGTGTAAATCACCTAAAGTTTACTTTTTGTATTATAATGTTTCTCTCTCACTGTATACTATGTAATGTATAATGGGCCTGTGGCCTACAATACCTACTGAATAAAGACTATAAAGACTACTAATTATTTAGGTAATAATCAGGTAGTCGTTTGATGTAATATCTTGAATACTCAGGTGGATGTACATAAATCTATTACAAAATATTTTTTTACTGTTGTCTTTGCCATCATTTTCTGCCTCTTGCATATCAACAAGGGCCCCGAAAACCACGTGTCCTAATGAAATTTTTTTTTTAGTATTATACTTCTCATTTTCTGGGCTCAATCAATCCCAGGATTTAGAAATGGGTAGTATTGTCTGTTTTGCCACATTTAATTGTGCTGGGTTTATTGTCTTAATTAGTTTTTGGTCATCAATTACAATATCTGTGATCCAGGTTTCATGGGGCATGGCTGCGTCACAACTGTCATTGCCAGGATTGTAAGCAGCTGGACAGCGGTCAGAAGACAATGGACGTCGTCAGTATTCCACCTGATGTTTCTGTAGCATCTGCAAACATTTCAGGTGCCATTTGACATTTCACTTGCTTCCTCTGTAACATCCGTTGGCCATTTTGATCAAATGTCAGACATTTGACTGCAAAAATTTGCAAGGTACAGTCCTTGTTAGAAATTGGCTGATTTCTTCTCTTGAATCTGTCAGAGACCATATAGGAATTTATTTTATGGTCTCTGACATATTCATGAGTAGAAGGTGCGGTCGGGTAGCCTAGTGGTTAAAGCGTTCGCTCGTCAAGCTGAAGACCCAGGTTCGATTCCCGACATGGGTACAATGTGTGAAGCCCATTTCTGGTGTCCCCCGCCGTGATATTGCTGGAATATTGCTAAAAGTGGCGTAAAACCATACTCACTCATGAGTAGAAATGTAAAGCATGTCTCATGGTGACTGTCACTGTCATGATGCTCTTTATTGCTGATTTCAGCATGTTTATGTCTCTCTTTCCCCATCCCCTCAAATGTGCCCCCACCCCCCCAAATGTGCCCAGTTTCGACTGTCCACACCAGAAGTGCACAAGAAAAAGTGGTATAGAAGAGTGAGTGAGTGAGTGAGGTTTTACGCCGCTTATAGCAATATTCCAGCAATATCACGGCGGGGGACACCAGAAATGGGCTTCATATATTGTACCCATGTGAGGAATCAACCCGGGTCTCAGGCATGATCAGTGAATGCTTTAATCACTAGGCTACCCGACCACCCCTGGTACTGAAGAGAACATAAAAGTGTGATTATCGTTACTGTTGCTTGTTGCTTGATGTACCTGTTATCCTGGTTTTCTTTTATGGTGGAGACAACCTCCAAACTTGTGATAAATGAGTCAGTATCATCAGCAACACTATGAACATGTTTGTGATCAATCACAATGGTTGGTTGGTTGGTGGGTTGTTTAACACCGCACTCAGCAATATTCAAGCTATATGATGGCGGTCTGTAAATAATCGAGTCTGGACCAGACAATCCAGTGATTAATATCATGAGCATTGATCCACGCAATTGGAATCGATGACATGCATCAACCAAGTCAGCGAGCCTGACCACCCGATCCTGTTAGTCGCCTCTTACGACAAGCATAATCGCCCTTTACGGCAAGCATGGGTTGCTGAAGACCTATTCTACCCCAGATCTTCACGGGTCTATGCACATATTGGTTGCCTGTGACAGAGTGGTTTGCTTCTGTACCAGGTGCTGCAGTGGAGCTGGAATGGTCCTGTGGACATGTGGGCAGAGTGCCACTCCAGTACCTGCACTCCAACTGCTACTCCCAGGAAGCTCGACACCGACGTGCCGCTCAGGTCCAACTCACCGAAGAGTGCACTGCCAGAGTAGGTATATCATATTTAAGAAATATATGTCTAGTGGGAGTTGTTTATAGTACAATAAAACACTGCAGGGAGAATAATCCATCAGGGGCGCATGAGTTTATTTCTTATAAGAGATATCAACATAATATACAGCCTCTTTAAGGATAAAGATAAAATTTAACAGCTTTAAAAATATTTACCCATATTTTAATAATGATGATTCCCTGAATAGAATCCGACCTCGGCAATGTCGGTCAAGTCCATTTTATGAACAGATTTGTTTTGGTATTGGTATTTCCAGCATATTCTCACAATCCTCACATCAATTATCTGTACCTCATCTCCCAATATGGATTGTCATGTCACTACAATTTTTGGATGCAATTATCAGCCACTGCGTTTATCTGCGCACCCCAGCTACATCTATAGGGAACAACTCACTACACACTTCCCTATTTAAAATAATGTTGTCCAATATATGACATCATCAAGTTGCGAGCACATGTTCTGAAATCCAGAAATGACATCATGATAGAACCATGTTTTATCGTGAAATAAACCATGCTTTGTTCTTCATTGTTCTTTACAATTTATCACGTTGCTATCTCATATACAGGTATCCCTGGGCTTGTTGCAGTACTGTTTAATTTAGGGAACTCAATAACCTGTTAAAATGAAGGTTTTGACTTGTGCTTCTTCCATACTTTATGTTTAACGATGTTATAGTTGCCCAAAGAGAATGTATGTTTTGGACGATTTAAAAAAAATAAAACAGTACAGCGACAAAACCATTTCCATAATTATAAGATATCTCTGCATAAAGCATGTGTTTGTGAATCACTATCAAACAGTCATACCAGGTGTTATATTACAATAAATATATATGAGATTTGCTTAGAAGTTTATGTAAGTGGATCAATGGTATGTCACTTCTCAGTTGTCATGAATTGAACACTGTTCACTATACCTCAGTCCTAATTAGAGAATGTACAGGTTTGGTCAGTGAGCAATGGCACCAATACCAACAGTTGTGTCCCATCTCAGCCCTTTACACAACTGCTTAGATGAGAACTAGACTTTGTATGATTGGAAGTCCCAGAAAGTTTGATTTAAGTCATACAAAACCAACTTTCAGTAAGCAGAGCATCCCTATAAAAGTCCAGTTTCCACCCTTGCTGAACTTGGCTGGAATTATGGAGTTATATATTCGCTACTAACGAATCTATGCATAGTCCTATCAAAATTGCATAACAAAATCAACATCCGGTTTGTAAACTGTTGTGCACATTTCGGTCAATTGCGGTTGCAAAGCATGTGTATCAACAGATGTGTGTCAACAGATGTGTATCAACAGATGTGTGTCAACAGATGTCTGTCAACAGATGTGTGTCAACAGATGTGTATCAACAGATGTATGTCAACAGATGTGTGTCAACAGATGTGTGTCAATAGATATTTTCCAAATCTTTCCATGTTATATTTACGTGTGCACATGATTTGATGCACCTTGCGAAGTATGACCTGTTTTTTTACAATATAGATCTTGAGTATCGATAAGATCATCCTGACTGTGCACGGCCATTTTGTTTGAAGAAAATGCAAGTGATATGAGATGTCGAATTTGATTGGTCAATAGGAGGGACATAGAAGGGATATAACTTGTAAAAAACACTGGTGGTGCAACCATCAAGTCCAGAAATTCCGGCCTAGTTCGTCAAGGGTGGAAACTACACTTTTACAACTCCCTTGCCTCCGGAAGAGGGAGGGAATAACTGACAGCTTGAATCACAACTGCCACGGGGTGGTGAGGTAGGCCAGTGGTTAAAGCGTTCGCTCATCACGCCAAAGCACCGTGTTCGATTCCCCACATGAGTACAATACCGTTCGTTTGAAGGTGTAAAAATTAATAAAATAGATTACAATGGTAAGTCTGGATATATTATGAACTGTTTTTATAACCAGACAGTGTAATTACATGATTCGTTTGCGTACTTCATTACGGATTTGTTGACATGGTATTTCTGGTGCTACGGGCTCACAGTAATGTCTTTGTTTTGGGGGAAAAAAACCCCATCAAAACTCTTTAACCCTGTGTATAAGACGACCCCCCTTGAAAGCCCCCTAATTTGAGGTATGAAAAACTCACCGATACACAACAATATACGGTGTCTGAAACTCATTTCTGGTATTCCAAAAATGATATTGCTGGAATATTACTAAAAGTTTTTCTAAGACCATACTCATTCAAAATTGCTTGGTCTGCCACTTGGCCTGAGCTAACCCTGGGACAGTAGGAACTTCAAGGCTTGGCTCTGTGAAGTGCTGTTTACAGCCATAGGGTGGATATTGCTCATGTGAAACTAAAGGTGAGGTGAAAATGGGGTTTAACGTCGTGTCCAAGATTATTGCACTTATATAGCGATGTGCATGCATGTGTATGTGTGTGTGTGTGTGGCTGCTTGTACTTGTCCAGACTGCTGCCGATTTATAGTGCTAGCACACTGAGATACCATGACGCAGTTTAACATGAATACCCCACTCAGACACAGTATACTGACTCCGAGCCGACCAGTCCTTGTTTTAGCCCCTTAATGCCAAGCGCCAGACAGGGTAACAACAAGTACCATCTTTCAATGTCTTTTGGTATGACGTGGCTGGGGATCAAACCCGGACCTTCCGCTCTGGGGGCGGACGCTCTACCATTAGACCACAGAGGCGGTCTGTGAAACTAAAAATACTGTTGTGTTGTAAAGAAGGATGTTCCTTTAAACACTTTACAGAGAGTCTCTTGTTTCACTTTATTTCAGAGTATCCCAGCCCTGCCATACAGTGATGTTGTGCAGTCACAGCGTCATCTTCTCAAGTAAGCCGATTGTGCAGAGTAATAGAGGTGACATATGCAATGCAAGAACTGGACTACACTGGGGATAAGATACAAAGTAGTTCTCAGTGTCTGTTTACATGAATATAGACTGAAATCAATGATGGCAGGCAAATATAAAGGAAATAGTATAAGTTTTAGCAGGATAACTTGATGTACATGGGGTTTTATGCGTCCCGCGTTAGGTTTTATACCACGAGGCAGAGTTGAGTGGTATATAATCTAACAAGGGACGCATAAAACTCCATGCACCCCGAGTTATCCTGCTACAACAAATTTATCTTTTGTACACATTTTAGTATGACATTGTAAAAGAATTAAACAAATTCAAATTTGATAGAAGACGCCTGTTGGATTGAGCTTGTGCTATGTCACGTGACTTTCATTGGCTTGGAAAAAGTTAGCAGGTTTTTCTTTGAAGTTGGGTATTATAAATTTATTCTGCCTCTCAGAAATCCACTGGTTTAGAGATGGGGCTGGTGTGTGTGTTATAAGGGATTTATTCTCCCGCTGAGAAATTTATCTCCCTCCAAGGCGGGATACACAGTATTTTATCAAGATCACTTGGAGCAATCAGATCTCATCATTCTGGCATGGAGGTATGATAATATGACTCAGTCATAATTCTTATGCCAACATATACAACAAAATATGAGATCATTCGAAATAAGTAACTTGAAATATTCTTAGCAAATATTAAATTAAAGTTAAGTCATTGTGTCCAATTATTGGATTCAACGTAATAATATTCAATATGTTTTATTCAATATAAAAGTTTTTCACATACCCTTTGATGTTATATCACTGAATATAAGTGAGCTTCTCTACCTGTGTTCTCTTCTTTTTAAAATTACAACTTTATCATTATTATTATCATTAGCTTTATTATTGTTATCATTAATGACAGATGGCTGACGCTAATAAATCAATATGGTGTCTGCCTGCTGACAGGGGTTCCTCTGGAGGAGAACATGGTAACAAAGGTATGGAACGATCGACTATCCTCAATTATGTGGTCTGCTTGCACCAGTCTGGACTAGCGCCAGTTTATAGTGCTATCCCACTGAGATTCCATGCTCCAGTTTAACATGGATTCCCAACTCAGCCACAGTATACTGACTCTGAGCAGTCCTTGTTGCATCCCCTTAAAGCTCTCAGGCAGGGTAACAACAAGTACCATTTTTTGACGTATTTGGTTATACATGGCTGAGGATCGACCACCCACCTTTTAGATCTCTACACATTCCACGGATGGTTAAATAAAATGTGTTCAGTAAACTGACAAAATTCATGTGTCATGACGTTAAGGCTATTTGATGGACTAGACTGTACCTTGAAAGGCCTCCCTGAACTTTTTTTGAGTGACGCTGCCATGTGTTTGTTTTTGTTGCCAGGTTGCAGAGTTGATTGACAAGCCTCAACATACCATATATGGACATGTAAGTTATTGTTAACATCCAGGGGCCCGTTCTACAAAGCAATCTCAGTGTCACGATTGTCGTAAGTCTATGTTAAAAATATGGGAGTTACGATCGAGTTTTCAAAAACAGACTACACATTATTATTGATATGTTCATTTAAGAGTAAATATTTTTCCCATTGACTTTCTAGAAATTTGATGTAGTGAACACGCCTCGTCCGATCAACATCGCCTACTCCAATGTTGGCCTTGACCTTCACATGGACCTGGTGTACTATGAGTCTCCACCCGGGCTGCAGCTCCTGTTTGCCAGAAGGTGACAACAGAAGTAAATAAAATACGGCTAGGACGTCACACTTTTGTTTCAACTGTAAAATGTAACAGATTGTACAGATAATGTTTGCGTAACTGAACATTCATTACAAATAGTGAGTGAGTATGGTTTAACACCGCTTTTAGCAATATTCTAGCAATATCACGGCGGGGGACACCAGAAATGGGCTTCACGCATTTTACCCATGTCGGGAATCGAACCCCGTCGGGTCTTCGGTGTGACGAGCGAACGCTTTAACCACTAGGCTACCTGACCGCCCCTCATTACAAATAATGAGTCAACAGCTGATATCATTATTCATAACAAATTTCCATTAGCTTGTGCATTATCTTTCACATAATAAGTGAATAATCTGCCTAAACATTGTATGGATGAATTGTGACAACATAACGGTATCTGTACATATGGCCAGACCCATGAATAGGTTTGTTTTCTGATTTTCTTGATCAGTATGACAAAATAAAAAAATAGATTAATTTGCAGTTAAGAAACTATTGAAATAAGTAAAGTTACAATACGAAAATAACATAGTTTCTTTACAATAATTTGAAACACTTTTTAAGAAGTACTTTGAATGACACAATGCTCAAGACAGATGACACTGTACTCTGTACAGTCAAATTACTAGAAGTAAACGAAGAGATGGTGACGTCACTCATGTGAAACTGCTGTTGAAAATGGGTCAAGGGTATTTAATATCAGGATAGAATTGATCTTAATACCCGGGGGGGATGGGTGGCCCAGTCGTCAAAGGCGCAGTGTTGCATCCCTTAGGCACGCCAGAAACCTATGATTGTGGGTTCGAATCTCGGTTCGCCTCGTTTATGTTTCTAGGTTTGTCAGCACCATACCCGTGCTCGTGGATTTCACCAAAATGGTAAACGTCTGAGACCTCACTTCAGGCTTTCCTCCCACATTAAGCTGACACGCTGTGGAATAATGTTAAAAGCGGCGTTAAACCCAACTCACTCACTCTTAATACCCTATATAATGCAAACCAACACTCAGCTTTGACCATGCAGATAGGCTGTGGGGATTCCGGTTTATAATTGGTCCCCAGCAGCATTGCAGATCATGAAATGTGCACCCATGAAGATCTGGATTAGAATAGGTCTTCAGTACCCATTCTTGTCCTAAAAGGCCACTATGCTTGTTAAGGCGACTAACAGAGTCAGGTAGTGAGACTCATGGTTGATGCATGTCATCGTATCCCAATTGCTTAGATTGATTTTCACTGTGTCAATCACTGGATTTTTTGGTCCAGACTTGATTATCAAGCTGTAATATTGCTGAGTGTGGCCATGTAATTACAGGTTCGACCAGTGTGTTGAGGGTGGAGAGAGCGTATTCGTTGATGCGTTCCGAGTGGCAGAAGATTTCAGGCAGAAGGACCCAGATCACTTCCAAACTCTCGTAGAGGTTCCTGCGACTTTCCAGAAGGTGCACTATGACAGGTGGGATTAACTATCAGCTGTCCTCAATACACCATGAAGGACAAGGGATTATGGTCCAAGGTCCACATGACTTCTGGCAATATTCCAGCAATATCACAGCAGGGGCCATAGAAATGGGCTTCACACATTGTACTCTTGTGGCAGAAGGGTCCCCTCCTTAGGCATGACAAGTGAAGAATCTTACCACTAGGCTACCCTAACACCCCCAGCAAATCTTCTGCAATTTTTCAGTCATCTTGCAACATGTCAGTTATAAGCTGTGGCCAGTGTCTGTGCCATGCTATGAGGTGAGGTGAAATGGGGTTTCAAGTCACGTTTAAGATTATTGCGTTTATATAGTGATGTGCATGTAGTTTTATAGTGCTAGACATCGGAGATACCATGCCGCATGAATACCCACTGAGACACAGCTGAGCCAACCAGTACTTGTTATGTCCCCTTAATGTCGAGCACCAGGCAGGGAAACAACAAGTACCACCTTAACATCTTTTGGTATGACGTTGACGAGGATTGAACCATCAAACTTCTGCTCTCTCAGTCCATTAACCAGACCACTGAGACAGTCTCTATGCAGTGAGTGAAGGAATTGAGCACAGTGGGGATTGGGTGGTCACTATGTCTGCACAGTATGGTGTGAACTTGATGGGAGGTCACAGGGGAAGATAAGTCATGTGACCTGGGTAACTCCCATTGTTTAGCATTGACTTAAAATATCTATAGCACTACAATCATTTTGAGCCAGTGGGCCCTGGGACCCGTTCCACAAGTTGATCGTAACGCCAAGACGATCATAACCATACTTCAACAACCGCCTCCGTGGTCTAGTGGTTGAGCATCCGCCCGGGGAGCGGAAGGTCCGGATTTCGATCCCCAGCCGTGTCATACCAACAGACGTTAAAAGATGGTACTTGTTGTGACGTTGTCTGGCGGTGGGCATAAAGGGGCTAAAAGAGGACTGGTCCGCTCAGAGTCAGTATACTGTGTCTGAATGGGGTATTCATGTTAAACTGCGGCATGGTATCTTAGTGGGGTAGCACTATAAATCGGCAATAGTCCAGACTAGTACAAGCAGACACGCACGCACGCACGCACGCACGCACGCACGCACGCACACGTGCATGAACGTCGCTATATAAGTGCAATAATCTTGGACCGACGTTAAACCCCTTTTCACCTCACCTTGCCCATACTTCAACATAGATTTATGACAGTCATAGTGCTACGGAGTCAGACAGTTGAGTAGATATCAAAATAAATCATTCTCACTCGGGCGCGAACATAATCAGTAAATATTAAACATCATCACCTCAGAGTGAATTTTTACTTTGGCTTGTGATATACATACACAGACATACCCAATAATTCATGAGCATCTTCCTGAGGAAAGGGAGTTAAATGACTGTAAAAGTCCAGTTTCCACCCTGGCCGAACTAGGCCGAAATTTCTAGGATCGGGCATAACGCCTCCAGTGGCTATTACGAGTTATGTTCCTTCTATGTCCCTCCTATTGACCAATCAGATTCCACCTCTGATATCACTTGCATTTGCCAGAAATAAAATAGTGGCACCCAGTCAAGACAATCTGATTGATAATAAAGATCTCTATTGTAATAAAATGGGTCTTACTTCGCGAAATGCATCAGATCACGTGAGTACCTTGATTGAAAACATGAAAAGATTTGGAAAGTATCTATTGACGCTAAGTTGAAGGTACACATGCTTTGCAAAACCTGCAATTGATTGAAATCTGCATGGCAGTTTACGAACCAGAGTGTTTTCGTTACACGATTTTGATTGGACTGGGCATAGACTCATTTGTCCAGCCAAAAAATTACTCCCAGCCTAGTTTGGCAAGGGAGGAAATTGGAATTTTAGTATCAGTTACCTCCCTTGCCTCGGGCAGATTATATTAAGGAAGCACTATTGTTTACAAATTCACTGACTCCGGACAGAAAACAATAATTTGTCAATTTAGAGTAATTGCTTGTCTGCACTGAAAAACATGGAAAAATGCTAAATATATGGGAAAAGAATTTAAATTAGTTGAATTGAATAAAGACATAGTATATATAGACCCTGGCTACTGCAAACAATCAGTAAAAGTAATTATTTACAAGAAATGAATAATTGTTACTGTATACATATTGTTTTGTTTTTGACCTACATAGCCAGGCTTATCTGTGGGAAAAAACATGTGGGAAATAAGAGATTGTTATCTGAGGGGTGGGTCATTTATCATAGGGTGGTGGGCCCCAGGGATTGGTCTGAGGACTATATCATATTTTGTTGACACCACCCCACAACCATTTTATGTGACGTTTCCATGCCACCACAATACATGTAACATTTTTCCATGCCACCACAATACGTGTAACATTTTTTCATGCCACCACAATACATGTAACATTTTTTCCTGCCACCACAATACATGTAACATTTTTTCATGCCTCCACAATACATGTAACATTTTTTCATGCCTCCACAATACATGTAACATTTTTTCCTGCCACCACAATACATGTAACATTTTTTCATGCCACCACAATACATGTAACATTTTTTCTGCCACCACAATACATGTAACATTTTTTCATGCCTCCACAATACATGTAACATTTTTTCATGCCACCACAATACATGTAACATTTTTTCATGCCACCACAATACATGTAACATTTTTTCTGCCACCACAATACATGTAACATTTTTTCATGCCTCCACAATACATGTAACATTTTTCCATGCCACCACAATACATGTAACATGTTTTCACCAAAACCCACACTATTACCACATTTATATAAAAAATAATGTTAAATAGGCCAGGGTTGAAGGTCAAGGTCATAATTTTAACCCTGAAGTGGATGCAACTTTCTTTTTAAGACCGTTATGTGCAGAGAAAACTCAAGTTTGAAAACTGTCCGGCATTGGCCCGTATGTGTTTTCCCAAATTGGAGTTATCAAACCGGAAGTGATGTTATCAAACCTGGAAGTGATGTTATCAAACCTGAAGTACTTATAACTTTGTCATTAAGGTAGCTAGAGGCATGGGACATTCCATTTCAAAGTTGAACTACATTGGTCATGTGTGAGGTCAACTGGTTCTTGATGTATGTTCCTGATGTTATTCATTGATTAATATCTCTCACAAAGTCAAATCATTTTTCATTTGTTATCAACAATTATGTTTATATTAAAGGACATTAGACAGGTGAGCTACAGAGACTTATGACATTTTATGTACAAAAGTTATTTTCTTCCATCACAGAGAGGCTCCAGTTCACATGACCTTCCAACGACCTCACATTGTCCTCAACAGTAATAAAGAGGTCAGTGATGTATTGACATGTTTCACACCTGTAACATTCCATCCATCCATCCATCCATCCATCCATCCATCCATCCACCCATCTTCCAGTATTGTTTGTTTGTTGTTTAATGCAGCACTCAGTAATATTCTAGCTATGTGACTGTGATCTGTAAATAATCGAGTGTGGACTAGACAATCAAGTGATTGTCATCAAGAGCATCGATCCACGCCATAGGTAATACGATTACATACATCGACCAAGTCATTGAGCCTGACCACCTGATTCTGTTAGTTGTCTCTTACGGCAAGCATAGTCGCCTCTTACAGCAAGCATGGTTTGCTGAAGACCTATTCTCTACCCAGATCTTCAAGGGTCTCCTTCAAGTAATGCATGCTTCTTTGATTTATTTTGGCAAGAGAATATTGTCTAAGGAAACATGTCCGCCATGGCTAAGGTTTAGCAGAAGCAGATATGAAATGTAAGGGATGTGCCTCTGATTATTGTCTCACATATTTATTCAGACAATCTATTTTTTCCTATTCATGGCAACATTTAAGTAATCTGTTTCAGATTGTGAACGTCAATTGGGCTCCGCCATTTGAAGGACCATTATCAGTACCAGAGGTTCGCAACAATATGAGTAACATCAAAAGATTTTGACTTTAAGAGTTATATTATATGGATTTGTGAATAATAATATATTTATAACAGGCCTATTTATATTGTGCTGTATCCACACCACATGGTCGTGTTCAAAGCGCTGCACTACTTAGTACTATTACAAGTGTGCACTTAACCACCATTCTCAGCTCCTAAGGGAGTACACAACCAGCTGTCTCTGAGGCACTAAAAGGCTAACAACTATGGTATTAGCTAAACCCTAAATAGGCCCCATCCTTAAATGGGCCTCAGCCAGAGACAGGATAGGGGAGATAACTCCCACGAGCATGCTGCCGGCTGGAAGTACATGCACATGGCATCAGCCACACTCTTGTACACAGCTACACCTACAGTGATTAAACACAGTAAACGAACCAAGACATATCTTTGTCATATCGCCACAACAACCAAAATTGCCATCTCATCCAACCAGGTACCCGTTCACTGCTTTGTGGACAGAGGCACATTTCGAACGAAGTTACATGCCCATGGGGACACCATATGTGTTGCATGGGCTGCAGTGTGGGGCATGACCAAGGCCCTAGAAACTCCCAGGAGCCAAGCTGCTGAAAACAGTCGGCGCATGGTCCTGTGTCTGTGTCAAAGAATTTGTATTTTAAGTGAATTGATTTAATTATCAACTTTTAGGCTGACGTAGAAAGATACTATGCAGCCTACCAGAGTTTTGCCAAATGTCTTCAGGTGTCGTCCCACGCAGTAAGTACATGTCCCAGAAGCTGTTGACAACTGTGGCAGTATCCCAGATTAGACCTGATTAAGATTCATGTGTTTTCTTAACACCATACTGTTGTAATATGTTGTAAGATTCATTGTGTCCTCCCACCTCCCAAAAGATACATATGGATACAGAGCTCCAGATAAGCTGCGTATCTGCGTGAAATACGCATCAGAAATGCAGAAATACACAGTAACATATAATCCAAGCGTATCAAATACGCAACGAACAATACAGATACGCTACAAAAATAAAACTTGTGCGTATCATCAAAATATTGTGAAGTAACCCTGCGTAATCGATTAGCAAATGAGCAACTTATTTTGAAATTATAAGTTGGCATTCCGTCAACCTTGCCAAACTCAATGATGACAGTCAGATCATGATCATTTGCCATCACACTTTCTTGTGGAAGTATCATTGTATTTTTGAGTCCTATAAAGCTCTCGAACCCACACGACACCAGTTTGCAGGGACTAGATGAATAGTGTTTTTAAATATTTAACTTAAATACTAACATGTGTAAAAACTAGTGGGTAACAGAAATTTGAATACCCAATGATTTTAAAATGCATGGGTAAAATACCCACAACACCAAAAGCTTATCTGGAGCTCTGTGGATATATACAAAGTATAACTGTCCAGATCTGGAAATTTCAGATAGTTTCACATTTCTTCACAGAACATTGAATATTGTCAGAAAGGTGGGATTTGTAGGTATGAGCAAGGCTTTACTGTAAATGCTTGATCTCTTGCAATGTACATGGAACTGTTTGTGTTTCAGTTAATCTATCGACTTCAGGAGGGTGACGTAGTTGTGTTCAACAACCGCAGGATGCTTCATGGTCGCCACAGTTTCTCGCTCAACGGAGGTGTTCGTCTACTGGAGGTAGGGTTATGTTGGCAATACGTCTATTGTTGCAATCTAATAGCGGTGTTCGTCTACTGGTGGTAGGATTATGTTGACAATACGTCTATTGTTGCCCTCTAATGGTGGTGTTCATCTACTGGAGGTAGGATTATGGTGACAATACGTCTATTGTTGCCCTCTAATGGCGATGGTTGCCTACTAGAGGTAGGATTATGTTGACAATAGTCCATTGTTGCCCTCTAACGGCGGTGGTTGCCTACTGGAGGTAGGATTATGTTGACAATGGTCTATTGTTGCCCTCTAGTGGCGGTGTTCATCTACTGGAGGTAGGATTATGTTGACAATACGTCTATTGTTGCCCTCTAGTGGTGGTGTTCGTCTACTGGAGGTAGGATTATGGTGACAATACGTCTATTGTTGCCCTCTAATGGCGGTGTTCATCTACTGGAGGTAGGATTATGTTGACAATGGTCCATTGTTGCCCTCTAATGGCGATGGTTGCCTACTGGAGGTAGGATTATGTTGACAATGGTCTATTGTTGCCCTCTAGTGGCGGTGTTCATCTACTGGAGGTAGGATTATGTTGACAATACGTCTATTGTTGCCCTCTAGTGGCGGTGTTCGTCTACTGGAGGTAGGATTATGGTGACAATACGTCTATTGTTGCCCTCTAATGGCGGTGTTCATCTACTGGAGGTAGGATTATGTTGACAATGGTCCATTGTTGCCCTCTAATGGCGATGGTTGCCTACTGGAGGTAGGATTATGTTGACAATGGTCTATTGTTGCCCTCTAGTGGCGGTGTTCATCTACTGGAGGTAGGATTATGTTGACAATACGTCTATTGTTGCCCTCTAGTGGCGGTGTTCGTCTACTGAAGGTAGGATTATGTTGACAATACGTCTATTGTTGCCCTCTAATGGTGGTGTTCATCTACTGGAGGTAGGATTATGTTGACAATACGTCTATTGTTGCCCTCTAGTGGTGGTGTTCGTCTACTGGAGGTAGGATTATGTTGACAATAGTCCATTGTCGCCCTCTAATGGCGATGGTTGCCTACTGGAGGTAGGATTATGTTGACAATGGTCTATTGTTGCCCTCTAGTGGCGGTGTTCATCTACTAGAGGTAGGATTATGTTGGCAATACGTCTATTGTTGCCCTCTAATGGCGGTGTTCACATACTGGAGGTAGGATTATGTTGACAATACATCTATTGTTGCCCTCTAATGGCAATGATTGCCTATTAGAGGTAGGATTATGTTGACAATAGTCCATTGTTGCCCTCTAATGGCGATGTTCACATACTGGAGGTAGGATTATGTTGACAATAGTCCATTGTTGCCCTCTAATGGCGATGGTTGCCTACTAGAGGTAGGTTTATGTTGACAATAGTCCATTGTTGCCCTCTAATGGCGATGGTTGCCTACTAGAGGTAGGATTATGTTGACAATACGTCTATTGTTCCCCGCTAATGGCGGTGTTCACATACTGGAGGTAGGATTATGTTGACAATACATCTATTGTTGCCCTCTAATGGCAATGGTTGCCTATTAGAAGTAGGATTATGTTGACAATAGTCCATTGTTGCCCTCTAAATGGCGATGTTCACATACTGCAGGTAGGATTATGTTGACAATAGTCCATTGTTGCCCTCTAATGGCGATGGTTGCCTACTAGAGGTAGGATTATGTTGACAATACATTTATTGTTGCCCTCTAATGGCAATGGTTGCCTATTAGAGGTAGGATTATGTTGACAATAGTCCATTGTTGCCCTCTAATGGCAATGTTCACATACTGTAGGTAGGATTATGGTGACAATAGTCCATTGTTGCCCTCTAATGGCGATGGTTGCCTACTAGAGGTAGGATTATGTTGACAATAGTCCATTGTTGCCCTCTAATGGCGATGGTTGCCTACTAGAGGTAGGATTATGTTGACAATACGTCTATTGTTCCCCGCTAATGGCGGTGTTCACATACTGGAGGTAGGATTATGTTGACAATATGTCTATTGTTGCCCTCTAATGGTGATAGTTGCCTACTAGAGGTAGGATTATATTGAAAACATTTATTTTTGTCCTCAAATAGTGCTGCTTGCTTGATCAAGGTGGGGTAAACTTGATCCGCGACACGTCTATTGTTGCCCTTCTGACGTAGGTGCTTGTACTATTTCCTGTATGAAACAATGGTCTATCTTTATATGAAATGTGTACATTTACCTGAACTGATTATATTTCAGGGCTGCTATATTCATATTGACCACTTCAAGAGCAAGGTTCAAGTCCTCTCAAACACAGTAGGTGATGGGCGTCCTGCCAAAAGAGTAGGAAACCAGGACTGGTTCTAAAGTGTTAACGACTCTGATGGTGACAGCTCTGGTAGAAGAGTAGGAAAGCAGGTCTGATTGTAGTTTGTGCTGGAGCACTATTGTCTCAGTCTAAGGCATCTCTCCTTGCAGAATTTATATGTGTTAGGATTTGCTATTTATTGGTGTGACTCCAAGATTTGCCCGAATAATGACTCTTGATCAAGGGTCTATGACTTCAAATATATGGACTTATCATTTCAACCATTATACAATGGTATAAGTATTTGTTCTGAAGATAGTTAGTGTATCGTGTGTATTCTTCCTTTATTTGTTTCCAAGACTGTCACTTTGCATATGACTTGATAAACTTGATACAGGACAGATAGTAGAAGCACCGCTCCAAGCTGCGCAATCTATATCTCTCTGTGCTGCTCCATATAATCTATCTTGGTTTTGACTTATCACTGTCCATAGCTATGGGCTGATCCATGGTGTTTCCTAAAACTATGCATAAATATTAGGGGATATTTTGTTTTGAGGTGAAACTACAGGAAAAAAATCTATGTCTGGAAATGAAAGTAAGTGATTTATGTGGCAAGAACATTTGCCCCGATTATGTTTCTAGGTTTGTTAGCACCATACCCATGCTCGTGGGTTTCAGTGAAGTGGTAAACATCTGAGACCTGCATCACTTTGGGCTTTCCTCCCACATTAAGCTGACATGCTGTGATTTAACTGGAATACTGTTAAAAGCAGGGTTAAACACAACTCACTCACTCACTCTGCAGACTCCCCCGCAGATATGATCATATCATTTCTATTTGCCAATATCATATGGATAGGAAGATATGTCTTGATGATTCGCACTTGATGATCTCCTACTGGTACTTTTTTGGCAACCCTGTCACAATCTATTTGATTCGTAGTCCCACAGAAACTGAAAACTGCAGCATGATTCCATTCCTATAATGCTTGCCTTTTATGTGTAATTATATTTTTGATCATGCAACTTTCTGTGTACTTATTGGGTTGGTAGATTTTATAGGGTGCAGCACAGAGAGAGGGAGTTACACCACTCCATGAGGCTGATGTATATGTTAACATGTGCTTGATCTTGGACTGTTTACACTGACTTATAAACCTATCATTGTAACCATCTCCCAGACGACCTTTCTTTTGTAGTAAGACCACTCAGCAGGTTTTACAATTGCTCCTCAGGTTTTACAATTCCTCCCCAGGTTTTACAATTGCAATTGTAAAACCTGGGGAGCAATTGTAAAACCTGGGGAGCAATTAGAATGTTCATCAATTAACTTACTTTGAGTAAGGAAAATATGGTCATCGTCAGACATCCTCTCTTGTGAACAGTCAACGACACAATGCCATGTGGTACGACGCACGCGGTTCTTTCTGCACGTACAGCCCTCTTCTGCACGTGCAGTCTGTGCAGCGGCCCGCGATAACAACTGTTATAAAGCGTGTCTCGTTATACCACGCTTATTTGCGACCCGTATACCGCGTAAATATAAGCTCCAAAAATGACATCGATTAATGGATAGCGGTTTATAAGTTGGACAAACCATTCCACCTCAAGAATGGTATGATTGTATAACCGGGTAGGCACAGAAAAGCCTCGGACGCTACGCGTTCTTGGCTTTTCTGTGCCTACCCGGTTATACAATCATACCATTCCTGAGGTGTCATGGTTTCTCCATTACATAATATACCTGCTCACCACTGTAATGACATCATCATAATACTTGTACTTGAGCCATGCACATGACAATATATAAACATGTCAGTGTGTTATTGTTTTGTTTTCCTTACAATAAATAAAACGTACGAGATGCTTTGAGGACTCTTTTCAAATAAAACGACTATTACAAGTACATTTGATTGTTTGTTGTTTAACACTGCACTCATCAATATACCAGCAGCGGTCTGTAAATAATGGAGTCCGGACAAGACAATCTAGAGATTGACATCATAAGCATCAATCCAAGCAATTAGGATATGATGACATGCATCAACCAAGTCCTAATCCCATTAGCCGCCGCTTTGCGATAAGCATGTTTAAGTTCATTTCAAACCCGGATGTTCACAGGTCTCTATTGCACTTCTGACTGCCTATAATGCGTAGGACACACTGGTCCAAGATGTTGTATATTCCTGTGCAGACTGGCAATTGGCCTAAAATTGTAGCAGCTGATTGGCCTTGACCGAGGGATTTAGCAGCTGATTGGCCTTGACCGAGGGATTTAGCAGCTGATTGGCCTTGACCGAGGGATTTAGCACCTGATTGACCTTGACCGAGTCACCACTATGTATGTTTAAGCAGAGTGGTCAACATCAATGACTGGTTCACTTAACTTCTCTTACCGTTCCCCTCATTGGTTTCTAGTTTAGTATCAGTCTTTCTATATGTCACTACTGAGGTTTGGTATAATTCTCCTGTAAGAAGTGCACTGAAAATCCTACTGCACACTCCTACATCTCCGATTGGATACAAATCATAAAATATTAGTGAGTGAGTGAGTGAGTGAGTGAGTATGGTTTTACGCAGCTTTTAGCAATATTCCAGCAACACCACAGCGGGGGACACCAGAAATGGGCTTCACACATTGTACCCATGTCAGGAATCGAACCGGGTCTTCTGTGTGACCAGCGAACGCTTTAACCACTAGGCTACCTGACCGCCCCTCATAAAATATTAAATACAATCTATGTACCAGTATCTTCCTTAATAAACTACCTCCAAAAATGTATGCTTTGTGGAAGTGAACATCTGGAAAAAGGATTCCATCATTCCAGCTTGGTGTTGGCGTTTCTTGTTTCTCAAAACCTGGACTGTACCGGTATTTGTTTTCGAATTGGAATTCGTATTCAGAATTTCAATAAAAGAAAGAATACCTATTTGGAGGTAAGTGATTAAAGGAGAGATTAGTATATAGATTTAAAAGATATTGTATTATTTACAGCCAATCTGAGACACAGTTTTCAGTGCGCTGTACATCATGAAGAGAAAGTGAAAAACATATTATACGAGGATCGGATGAAGGGGTATGGCCAGCTGGGTAACTTTGGGCTTTCCTGAAACACCATGACATGACTCTGGCTACATCGATTCACTTGTTTCACATCATTACCTCCCATAGCAGTGTCAGGATCCGCTCTTGTGTCAGATCCCAGCTCCCGCAGGTTATGATTCTTGATCTGCCAATTTTTGTTACACAAGGGTGACAGTTGATGCATGTCATCGTATCCCAATTGCGATGCTCATGATGTCAATCACTGGATTGTCTGGTCCAGACACGATTATTCAAAGACCACCGTCATATAGCTGGAATATTGCTGAGTTTGGTGTTAAACAACAAACAAACCTTTAACGTTTAACGACGTATTACATTGAGATCACACTGACCACATACCACGACTAGGTCACTGACAAACTTTACTTTATACTTGCTGGTAAACGATTTCACTAGATTCAGCTCACTTTCCAAGAACACTGTGGGGCCACGGATGGCCCAGGCGTCTAGTTCGCTATTCAGAGTTGCATGCCTTGGTCACACCAGAAACCTACAATCATAGGTTTGAATCTTAGTTCTCACCAATTATATTTCTTGGTTTGTCAGCACCTAACCCCTGCTCGAGGGCTTCAGCAAAGTGGTAAACGCCTGCATCACTTCGGGCTTTCCTCTGGCATTAAGCACACCGTGATATGACTTGAATACTGTTCAAAGCGGTGTTAAACCTCTGTAAGCAACCCTGCCTTGGTGCTTTTTTCTTATAAGATTTTATTTGAAACTTTATTGTGAAAACTGGATTGACTCCAAGCTGGTATATCTTTGTTTATTTATTTGTTGTTTAACGCCGCTCTCAGCAATATTCCAGCTATATGACGGCTGTCTGTAAATAATCGAGTCTGGACCAGACATTCCCGTGATTGACATCATGAGCATCGATCCACGAAATTGGGAAACGATGACATGCATTAAGCAAGTCAGCGAGCCTGACCACCCGATCCCGTTAGTTGCCTCTTACAACAAGCATAGTCGCCTTTTACGGCAAGCATGGGTTGCTGAAGACATATTCCACCCCGGATCTTCACGGGTCGCTGGTATATGTTCTCGGTGTCGTAAGGGGTCACGCGGATAATAAGAGATAACGGTATTTAAAAACGTCCAATTTCAACTTCAAAGAGTGCAGTTCAGTTGCAGCTGGAATGAACCATTTAATACCCACTTTGTCTGTTACCCTCCATGTGTTGCACGGATATGGGCTAAACCACTGCTTGCGTTCAGGCGTGTTTTGGGTAGCTCTTTCCATAACCTTCAGTCTTTTCATTGCTTTTAATAGTTCTCTATGTTTTCCAGTTTCATAAAACATCCAATCAGAAGTGGAGTTAACTGACTATTAATCTCATTAAAATCAGATCTTAGTTCTCGCTATGCTCGTCAGAACGACCTTTCATCCCACCACTCAGAGCGTCGTTTACCAGATCATGAAAGTGACAGTCGGAATGTGTTTTTTAATCATGCAACCACGAAATATTTAACACGGGGTATTCCGACCGACAGTTACGGGTTTTATGATTATATCCATACAATCTAGTCAATCTATAAGCCATTCCAGAATGTTCTTGTCAGTTTTATGTTTTTTTAATCGAGAATACGTCAGAATATGTTTCGAAGCGTAGTCGCCAGTTTGAAACTAGTGTCGTAAAGCTCGAGAAAGCTGCCTTCTGATTGGCTAATGTCGATTTCTTGTCTGTCATTTCATTGGTCGGTCAAAATTCGCGAAAGGGCGTTCTGACGTGACCCGTAATGGGATGTTCTCAAATCTTTGTTCAGCGGTAGCGAAAACTATAAGAACTGATTTTAATGAGATTGACTGACTATAAACTGGACTTTTATAGTCAGTTAACACTCTTGCCTCGGGATGATGGTGTGACATACCAACATGTTCTTGAACTATTAATCACATTGTCAACATACTCAGCCCTATTGACGGCATATGTTCATGTTTGACACCCTGCATACCTCGGTGACCCTTCAATAATGACGCGGAGTATAGTATAAAATCAGTCAAAATTCCATACAAAGCATTGGATCGGATCAAGGTTTGGCAAATAGAATCTGTTTATCTGCTTTTATCTACATGTTATCGGGTGCCATATGTGTGCGAGGACACTGGATCACATCTTATATCAGGGGACATGAAGTTCAATGGCCAATAGGGCATTCGGTTTGTATATGTTCCTGCTTAGTATGGTTTGTGTTAAGAAACCAAACCAAAGCCGTCACATTGTCAGAGAAATTGAAGTGGCAGGACTCTGCAATATCAGGGCGGCCTTAATAAACGAGTCCCGACCAGACAAATCAGTGGTTTATATTATGAGCCACGGGGTAGGATGTTACACGCATTCAACCGAATCACTGAGCCTGACGGGGTGGTGGGGTAGCCAAGTGTTTAGAGCGTTCGCTCGTCGCGCCGAAAGCCCGGTTCGATTCCCACATGAGTACAATGCGTGAAACCAATTTCTGGTATCCCCCGCCGTGATATTGCTGGAATATTGATAAAAGCGGCGTAAAACCATACTCACTCACTGAGCCAGACCATTGTTGGACGACAAGCAGTCGAGTGTTCGGTACAAATTCTAAAAAGCGTGTTTCCGCATGGCCAAGTGGAAGAAAAGCACTGCCGTGTACAGTATATCGCAACATAGCAGTTGAGATGAAATTTTCCATTTATCCGACTGTACAAACTCTACATGTTATTTCAGCATGTTGCAATGACACTATGGTTTTCAGACTATGATTACTAAGCGAATACATAAGAAGTACAAAACAGTTGGCTTTACTGCTCATAAAACGTGTTAATCTGGTCTGACGACTTGATAAATAGTAGTTAGTGAGTGAGTGTGGTTTGTAGCCGCTTTTAGCAATATTCCAGCAATATCACGGCGGGGGTCACCGGAAATGGGCTTCACACATTGTACCCTTGTCGGGAATCGAACCCGGGTCGTCGGCGTGACGAGCGAACGCGCTAATCACTAGGCTACCCGACCGCCCTGATAAATAGTAAAACTGGTAAAGTTTTTACTATTTATTTTTATGATAGTTTTGATCAATAGTAAAACTAGTAAACGTTATGTCATAGCTAAACTGTACACAGGAAAAGTTGAATGCTACTTTAATGGACTGCTTCAGATAATTGCACTCGTTTACACTTTCAGTCAGCCCTGTACTAACAATGTTGGAAATTCCAAATAATCATTGTCGACCTAAGCCTTATCCTAAATCGACCGAAGCGGTATTACTTTTATAAAGATCTATGTTAAAGTGTGGGAATTACGACTGCTAATACTGACATCACCTTGAGGAACGGGGACCACTGGTAGAAAAAGTTACTATTCATAAGAAAAATACCTTTAAGGTCCTTGGTTGAAGTTTGTTTTTCACAAACCCTGAGTTGTTTAAAAGTTGTCATATTTCACAATAGTCAAATCAACCTCGTCCTTTTTTAATTTATTATTTGGATTACAGATTTATTTTCTCAAAACTTGACGTTGGTGGTAAATGATTTTTATGATCATGCAACCTCGAAAACGTTAACACGGGGTATTCCGAACCTATATTAAGAATATTGCAATTACATTGGTTAATCCGTACCACGTGACGAAACAATTCATTTTAATGTAGCCCCCGCAATAATGTGACTGACACTGACTTTGAATATTGACTCGTCACATGATCAGTATTGATCTGTCACGTGATGAATATTGACTCGTCTGCTAGAAAACAAGATGACGTCTGATATGAACATTTCACGATTCGTAGCTAAGTTACTGAAATGAAACAGAGGAGGGTTTCAAGACTTCATAAACTTTAAAGTGAATTTCGGTATGACAAAACGAATAATTACTCTTGACGAGGTCAATATATGAAAACAAGGACCCGAGGACCCGACTGCCGGAAAAGACTCCGCTCCTTGTTTTCGCATATTGACGTCGTCAAGAGTAATTATGTACATGAACCAATAAATATGGTTGACATACTCAATATCACGGTCAAATACGTGAGTGGGTGTTATTTTTAACAAGCATTATAATTTGATCTAATAGTCGACGAGGCACAAAAGAATGGACCCACACGGCGTGCTCATGTTGGGAAACAGAACCGCTTTAACCATGTTAACAGTTAGGATACCCTATGACCCCTTAATGCGGATTCAAGAGAATTCAAACATATAGGTGAATAGTTACTGCGTTGGCTCGTACTGGGTTCGATTCCCCATAAGCATGAAGCCCATTCTTCAGGCTCCCCCATTTTGATATGACTGGAATATTGATAGAAAGGCGTAAACCTATACCAGAGTTCCAGATAAGCAGAATACGCAAAATACATCAATTAATTTTGAGTTGCTTGCGTAGAAATACGCCTTAAAAATGTCATAATCCCAACAGCAAAACACTGCGTAATTACCAACTTCAACATTCAACTTGCGTTCCTGTTTCTTTTCATATCTTTATTTACTGATAGAGTGCAGGCATCACACATACGTGAATGCATAACAGAGGCACCGTGTATCGCGTGTTATATATCTCTGTTGTGAGTTTATACAACATGTTCCAAACTTGAGTCAGCACTCGAACAGATACAAATTAGAAGTCACCCAAAACAACGTTTAAAGAAGAATTATTAAAATAATGTCTACTCATTGATTTAAAAAATAGCCTAAGAAAATTAGACATTAATTAATTAGCGAGTTGGGGTGAGCGTTACTTTGAACAGTTATATCAGCTTAATATGGGGGAAATCCTAAAAAGATTCTCACTGCTTAACGCTTTGATGAAGCCAATGAGCGTGGATATGGTGTTAACAAACCAAAAATCATAATGAGGTTAATCTGGGATTCAGACTAACAATCATCAGATTCGAGGAATGTAACTCTGCATAGTGAATTAAGATATTTCTTTACCTTTGCCCCCAACATTAAGTAGTATGACACACAGAAACACACTATATGTTCAAATCTCTTCATGTAGATAGTGGGGATATTAAAAAAAAACCCAGTATGTCACTGGAGTAGAACATTCTGTCGCGGAAAAAAGGCGCCCAGAGCAAAGTAAGTTCGGGGGTTATTGGCTATTGTTTACAAACAAAGCTTCAGGACAGTCGACGTCCCGTCCCTGAAGACATGATTAAGTCTAGAAAGCAACTTGATGGCAAGAGTTGTTTCCCTTACTTCTCCAACAGGTGGCAGTTTCTACATCCGTGCATTGCTACTTCCTGTATGTTGAGAGCTGCTAAAGTAAACATGGAATGGAGCTGTGTATTCGGAGGCAATTATATGTGAAATATGTTAAGTTAGTGATTACGTGGAATGCAGGTAACGTTAACTATTGATGTGTGTGTATGGATAACTGGAAATGTTGCAAGAAATCCACTTGTAGGAAAGGAAAACCAGTTGTAGTTCAAGCATTTATTCGTGGTGTAAAACTATTCACTTTCAACATTTGTTATTTCATCATGTTCATGCTTACTTATATCAGGTTCATTGGTTCACTCTTAAGTGAAATCCATATGATAATCTTATAAAACATGCACAAGATCACCTGTTTCACCCACTGACAAGCACACTTCAGGCGACTGACAGCTTGGTGGCACATCACAGAGCTGTCACTTGTCAGTAAAACACTGAAAGTAGAAAGGCATGGATGCAGTTTGATTCTAAACAATACAAATTTAAACTCACAAATTTCAGTGAATAAAAACCAAAATCATTACCTATGCATTATCATGATAATAAACAGACATCCTGCAAACATTGAAATGACCTTATAAGGAATACATTTATTTGTAGAAAGCTCAAAATTAGCTCATTTGGAGATAAACACACTGTGTTTTCAAAGCAGAACTAGGTTATATGTATCTTTTTAACTCTCTTGATTTAAATTTTGAATTGAACATGTTTGAAATAATAAATTTATCATGTTTAAATCTACAGGTACCAAGCTCTACATTGAAACACAGTCACAGTATGTTAATCTCCATTCTACCATGACAAAATTAAATGTTAACTCTTTGGTGTAAGTTGAGATATAGAGTGAAGCAGCATGGGTCAGGTCCAATGTTTTCTGTGGATTGTCTATCTGAATTAAGGAAACACTTATATTAAATAATCTGTAAACAATGTTTTGTTCTCTCATTCGATTTCTATTATCAGATTATGTTTTCTGTCCAAAATAAATTCTCACGCATGCATACTTTAAATATTGCAGTAATTGCAACCTTACATTTTCTAACCTGTAATTGTAAATATAATTATTTTAAAATGCCAACTGACACTGGCTGAGAAAGAAGTATTTTTCTATAATTATTAGCTTCAGCTGTGAGCCGGCCATCCAATTGCCTGTTCAGTCAGAGATGTGTTTGTGATTTGCTGCCTCTGACTAATAAGTAATTAAAACTTACCTCAAAACTTACTTCATAACTTATGCACATTTTAATCAAACTTGATCTGATGATAAGTTTGCATCAGAACAATTGTATGCACCGAAACTGTAATGTCATGTGACTGATCATGTTGTGAATCTATTTTTAACTTGACTGTCATGGACAGGCTTGAAATCAGGTGATGTAACAAGATGGCCCCGATTGATTGTCTGGCCTATTATGGCCAAATTAGCTGTATCTGCATGATTAGAGTATATATGAATGTTACACAGCAGTTGTGTGTGTGAATGTATATATATAGCTTATGTATATGCAAATTTAGATAATGTTATCGTGATAATTAGAATGTTGTACATAGTATTGCACATGATTGCAAATTGACAGTGTTTAAATCTATCATCTGTGATCATGTTCGTAAAGTATTCAAAGTTAAGGATTGTCCTGAGGTCCTTGAGCATGTTGAGGTTTGTTCCTGTAGTATTGGAGTCTAGGGACCCCCTAAATCCTTAACATTTAACATTAGGGAAAGGACCTCTTGACTTCCATGTCACTGGTTACTGATTACTAGTAACCTTGGTAACATTATTACGCATGTTAAGGTCAACTGGAGCATGGGGAATGCAGAAAAGTACTAGAGTTGCCTGACAGCTAAGTGTAAATTAAACTAATTTTATGCCTTGTGCTTTCATTCTTACTGCTTTGACACAACTAGCTCTTACTATATTTCCCTGCAAAAATACCAAAATACATTAGCCATTTTTAGCCATCTTCCCGAGCCAAGGGAGTTAACTGACTCTAAAAGTCCAGTTTCCACCCTTGCTGAACTAGGCTGGAATTTCTGGGCTTGATCGTAGTGCCACCAGTGGCTATTACAAGTTATGTCCTTTCTATGCATGTCCTTTCTATGCCCCTCCTTTTGACCAATCAGATCCCACTTCTCATATCACTTGCATTTGCTTCAAACAAAATGTCGGCTCCCAGTCAAGACCATCTGATCGATGGTCAAGACATATTTTATGTAATAAAACAGGTCTTACCTCGTGAAGTGCATGAAATCATGTGAGTGTCTTGATTATAAACAAGAAAAGATTTGGAAAATATCTGTTGACGTTGGCTGTACACATCTTTTGCAAATCCTGCAGTTGACCGAAATCTGCACATTGAAATCGACGTTGAACCTGATGTTGATTTCGTTATGCGGTTTTGATTGCACTATGCCTAGACTCGTTAGTCCAGCCAAAATATAACTCTATAATTCCAGCCTAGTTCGGCAAGGGTGGAAACTGGACTTTTGCAATGAGTTAACTAACTTGACGGGTAGAAACTAACATGTTTAGTCCACTAGTCCTTATGATGATAACATACAGCAAACCATTAAAAAAGGCAAATTTCTACTAGTCCTTAGGATACCTTAACTATTGGGCAGTTTGGCAAGGACTACAGGAATCGTGGCAATTTCTACTGCTGCTTGACTAGTCCCAGTGAAATGTTTTTTAGCCTCAGGTAAACAGGATAGTCTAGGTGCAGCACACTGTAGAGATTCACTGTCCCTGCAGACCTGTTTAATATTGTTCAATCCAAAGGAACACCCACGAAGACTATGTTAGGCGACTAACGGGATCAGGTGGTCAGACTTCCTGACTTGGTTGATGCATGTTATTGTATCCCTATGGTATTGATGATCATGATGTCAATCACTGGATTGTCTGGTTCAGACATGTCATGTCATGTCTTTGGAATATTGCTGAGCATGCTGAGTGCTGTGTTAAACAACAAACAATCACATGGGAAAGAAGATTTAAAAGCTTATCTTAGTTCCCCTTACATGTTCTTTGACCCATGAAGATTCCGGGCTAGAATAGGTCTTCAGCAACCCATACTTGCTGTAAAAGGCGACTATGCTTGTCGTAAAAGGCGACTAACATGATCGTGTGGTCAGGCTCGCTGACTTGGTTGATACATGTCATCGATCCCAATTGCGTGGATCGATGCTCATGCTGTCAATCACTGGATTGTCTGGTCCAGCTTCGATTATTTACAGACCATCGTCATGTAGCTGGAATATTGTTGAGTGCGGCGTTAAACAACAAACAAACAAACTACATGTTCTTTATCCTCTTGTCATGTTGCAGTCTGAGACCACCTTGGTGTAGAATGTTACCCCTCTGACTCACCGATGAGCACCATGTTCCATTCGTCTCACATCCACGTGCCTCGCAGTCGGCGACCCAATGCACTTCGGACATTTGTCACATCCTCATCATTTGGGCCCACTGAGACCAAGGAGCCACTGAGGCGGGGGATTATGTTCACAACGGTCGCCAGTGTTCTCCTACTTGTGGGGAGCATCCTCACATGGCTGGGTAAGACATTACACATCACACACTGGTGCAGCAGGGTAGGCTAATGTTTGAGGTGTTGAGTCAGTGCGTCAAAGTCCAGGTTTGATTCCCCATCTGGTTACAATATGTGAAATCCATGATGTTCAGTGCTTCCATATGGCTGTATTAATGCTAAAAGTGGCAAAAAGTGAGCTAGTTCTCAAATCTCAGTAATGTCTTCGAGAGGATGAGATTTCATTTAGTACTAAATCCACCTCAGTAACCATGGTAACAATGGTAACTAGCATTATTCCGTCTCTCAATATATAGCTATGCCACGAGTTAAAATCTCTCCTTTCCCCCGCCATAAGTTGAGAGAAACATATTTCACTCGACACATAAAAAATCCTATTTATTATATACTTTGTAGTGTAGTTGTCTACCAGAAAATCTAGTTATATCATTACAAATGTAAAACCTTGAAACGTAAATTCTCCCTACCTAATACACAGGATTGATTCACCAACCCTTGTATTTTGCGACTTCAAAGGTAGTTTCCTGTTTGCAAAATCTTCAAAAATATAAACGAAAGTAACAAAAATATTTAGCGTCACAAAACTTCTGTATCATACATATAGATATGATTATATACAAAATCAACTTTAGCCAAAAATATTCTTGAAAATTTCGAGATCGCTGTTGGAAGCGAAAGAATACATGCTGGTCAAGTTACAAAAATAGCACTTTGCGAAATGAACGGTCTTGATTGAAGAGAAATCTACAGTGTATAACGAAACATTGTCAAGAGAATAACAAACAGCATAAAGCGATATTAACTCCAGAAATGACCATCTGTCATTATTTAGCCTTGTCAATGTGGAATTAATGTTAAAAGGTAGTCAACAGTTTGTGTACAGGCCAAAGACTTAGGATATAGGTAGACAATTTAAGGGGAGGTCATTCTTGTATGACAATAGTTCAGTTAAAGTGTTATGTTCACTGCAATGACAATATCTCTCTTCTTAACTTTGGAAAACTCAAGTCTTTCACACTGAAGTATATAATAAATACATTACACAGAGGAAGGGGAAATGGTCAGGACCCTTGCTGTGTCAGCACCATGTCATTTCTCCTTGGTTTCACTTTCACCAAGCTTTAAGAAGTATTTGCCCTGTGTACCTGACAAGGTGTTTCTCCTACATAAACATGATTAAGCTGAAACAGTTATGGCTAGACCTTTTTGGCTCATCTCCTGAAATGCTATGTGAGCTTATGTTGATGTAAGTTGTCCAGAGCTGAAATTTTGTGTGGATGTCTGTTACTTTAACATGTTTAAGGGGGTTCAAGTTTGTTCGAGGCATCAAAATTGAATTTTCAACATGGCCTCAGGTAGGCAGCCATCTTTGATGTAATGATTTATGGAACATATATTCAAAATCTTCTCGAAAACGTAACAATGCTTTAAAGGGCTAAAGTGTGAATCTTGGTAGGTGAGACTGTCACCATGGTCACCATATGTAGTTCCAAGCTTGTTACCTGCTCACCTCTACCTTGTGCATATGATGTCTTCGTATTGGTTTGAAGACCCTCCTATGGATTTTGTGGATCATTCCTCTTCTACACGATTTCATTATATTACATCCGAATAGTGTAAAGCATGTAAAGGGGGTCACATCGCCTATTATGGTGTTTTTACTAGGGCTGGGACATGTCCAACTTTACTACCCGGGTGTCTGCGGTAGGTCTCAAGAGTTGAGTATAAAATGTCCGATTGAGAATAGTTTGACTGTAGCCCTGACAAAATGTATTTAGATACAAGTATAAAACGATCTGGTCATGCATACACTTTGACTGAAGTTTTATCTTTATTTAAACCTTTTAAGGTCTCAAGTCAAAAAGAAATACCAACATTAGTGACTTGTAGTGTAACCATAGAATTCTAGATAATTTTTGTCATTAAACTATATATCATGTGACAAACCTCGGGTCCTGTGGGTACCCGGGTCCTTCTCAGTACAGACCCTACCCGAGCACCCGAGTTACCTGTGCCAGCCCTAGCTTTACCCATTTACAAGTTCATGTCATAATGACACTAGGCAGTGTTATAGCTTATTGTTTATATAACTGTTTAGCACCAGCTTTCTTCATTTGTCCCCACTCGCCCCATCCCGTAACCTGCAAGAAGACTCGTCCCCTTATCGATGAATGTTATGTGCGAAAATACGACAAACCAATCAGAATGCGCCTATGATTTCAAGTTCTTCATCAAAGAATCCCTCAGAAATAATTTCTGTTTTTACATATGTCTTGTATCTAAAAATATACCCAAGACACAGTTAAATGTGTTCAATCATACTGTATAATTTTGCATGTCCTGATGTGCTTTAAATTGCATCTGAAGTATAAATAATATATGGGGAAACATATGTGAACCATTGTGCAATGAGTTGACAATTGTTTTAGGTATGCCCGTTTGCGCTAAGACAACCCGGTTGCAAAAATGGCCACGAGAGGGGCACGCGTCGCTATTCGGCTTGTCCCAGAATAACACGAATTGGTCACGAATGCAGCTTCCTTGTGGTGTATAGCTCATGGTTGTAGTCTACACAGGCCTGGGTACCTGTGCTCCACATGGTGGAATAAATGCATAGTGTCAGATAGGATAAGTTTAAACATTTTTAAGTTTTACATGAAATTATATATTGATGTATACACTTATCCTATCTCACATGCTATATCATCATGCCCTCCCAGCCATCCCCGCATCACAGCTCCTCTACTCTGTCAATGAAAGAGATTGATGTGGCAGGGGTAGTCAGGTGAGATCACATGCACGGGATTACAGTGTGTTACCCATTTATTTGGGTAGTGACCATGGTGATGCTGGGATGTGTTTAGGTGATATGTTTTTAGAAGCAGGAAACTTTGTTCAAGCACATTTACACATAAGGATAAAAAGAAAAAAGAAGAAATGCATTGTGTGACATAGGATTAGTATATAAACATGATAAATATACAATTTGATGTAAAATTTACAGCTTTTATTTGTTACCAGCGCTATATATTTCTATTCTGTTACAGTACAGTTTAGTTGATGCCAAAATTTTTAAGATTATATCAATTATCAAAATGAGTATTTTCTGTCAGTGGCATTAAAAACTTGCAACAATACCTATTTTTCGATTTTTAAGGTTGGCAGATTTTGTGAACAGAGACCATAATACTGGATGGGATGCTATTTGATATTTGTTCTTTCAGGGTTCAGTGATGTGTTTGGTGACAAGGTGTCCATGACAGGACCACTGCTGATAGCGTTGGCTCTCCTACTTCTTCTGTTGTCTATGAGGCAGTTTGTTATAGCTCGGAAACGGAATAATTCCACCAGGAATGGACTACAGGTCTGTGCAAATAGAGAACTATTCACATAGTTATCAGAATGAAAGATTGTGTCTCCAATGAGTTCACAAGGGAAATTATCATTAACATAGTTAGGAGTGTATTACCGATAGTCTTTTTACTGTGTAAGAATACGAAAAAAGTAAAGTTTGCTGGTCACATTAAGCAATGATAAGAGACATTAGAGAAGTCATTCTATTGTGGGTTGACTTTACCCGGTTCATCAGCTTAAAAAAATTAAAGAATTGGTTCTCAGGCAATGACTTTTCAAAATATAGTGTGGGCGGGCGTTGGTTTGTTTTTCTTTGCTTGTTCAAATTAGTTTGTAACCAGTTAAACAGTTGTGTATCATCAACCTGGGAAAGGGCCTCCCTACATAAAGAAGCATACATTACGAACTCCTATTGTTGCCATGACCATAACACGAGATGCGCAGTTAATCAGTGCTCATGTAAAGGGAAGTAACTGTGTGCTATATTGGATTGCATTGTTTTTAAGTATTAGTTTTTTTTTATACAATTTGAAAATGGAAATAAAAACGAAATGGCAGTGGACTTTATGATGATGCTGACAGAGCCTGAGAACCAAGACTAATATTTTTTTAGCCTAATATCTTCAAATCCTGATTTGTTCTGATTATGTATCTTAGTTTTTTGGAACCGTACCTGTGTTTGTGCTTGTGGGTTTCACCTTAGTGGTAAACAACTAAACATGCTGAATGCTAGACCTACATCACTTTGGGCTTTCCTCCCACATCAAGCTGACATACCATGATATCGCTGAAATACTGTTCAGAACGGCGTTAAACATGTTAAACCCACTCACTCACTTAGCGTCTTGCTTTGTATACTAAGTCAGCAATGGTACATTTTTTCAAGAGTTATACAGTTATTGATGATTTAATCAGCTATTATTTCCACTAGCTTGGACAGATGGGGCGTGGCACGGTAACAGCAGTGGTAGTGGATCGCAATGATGGCCTGGGTGCTGTCACTGTCATCATGGATGCTCTGAATGTCACCCCTGACACACAAATGAGGTAGGATTTGTTAGCTCATTAGCCAGGTCAGAATAGGTACCCAGTACCCATTATTGCATTATCTATGTATTATTACATCAGGAAGGTCAGCATATATATAGTGTAGGGTAACATTCACTCTTTTCCACTCAGCCTAACACCAAATCCCTACATAGATGATAGAGACAGTGTCACATTTCACTTGCAAGTCACACATAACAAGGTCTAGTTCTCGTCTGGAAATGGCATTGGACTATTTTGCATCATACCTCTTTAACATTGCTAGGATCATCATGTTGTGAGGCATCTTCCCAGGGCAAGCGTGTCCACTAGCCTATATCAAAGCCTAGTTTCTACATCTTCCCGAGGCAAGCGTGTCCAGTAGCCTATATCAAAGTCTAGTTTCTACATCTTCCCAGGGCAAGCGTGTCACTAGCCTATATCAAAGCCTAGTTTCTACATCTTCCCAGGGCAAGCGTGTCCACTAGCCTATATCAAAGCCTAGTTTCTACATCTTTCCAGGGCAAGCGTGTCACTAGCCTATATCAAAGCCTAGTTTCTACATCTTCCCGAGGCAAGCGTGTCCACTAGCCTATATCAAAGCCTAGTTTCTACATCTTCCCGAGGCAAGCGTGTCCACTAGCCTATATCAAAGCCTAGTTTCTACATCTTCCCGAGGCAAGCGTGTCCACTAGCCTATATCAAAGCCTAGTTTCTACATCTTCCCGAGGCAAGCGTGTCCACTAGCCTATATCAAAGCCTAGTTTCTACATCTTTCCAGGGCAAGCGTGTCACTAGCCTATATCAAAGCCTAGTTTCTACATCTTCCCGAGGCAAGCGTGTCCACTAGCCTATATCAAAGTCTAGTTTCTACATCTTCCCAGGGCAAGCGTGTCACTAGCCTATATCAAAGCCTAGTTTCTACATCTTCCCGAGGCAAGCGTGTCCACTAGCCTATATCAAAGCCTAGTTTCTACATCTTCCCAGGGCAAGCGTGTCCACTAGCCTATATCAAAGCCTAGTTTCTACATCTTCCCGAGGCAAGCGTGTCCACTAGCCTATATCAAAGCCTAGTTTCTACATCTTCCCGAGGCAAGCGTGTCCACTAGCCTATATCAAAGCCTAGTTTCTACATCTTCCCAGGGCAAGCGTGACCACTAGCCTATATCAAAGCCTAGTTTCTACATCTTCCAAAGGCAAGCGTGTCACTAGCCTATATCAAAGCCTAGTTTCTACATCTTCCCAGGGCAAGCGTGTCCACTAGCCTATATCAAAGCCTAGTTTCTACATCTTCCCAGGGCAAGCGTGTCCACTAGCCTATATCAAAGCCTAGTTTCTACATCTTCTGAGGCAAGCGTGTCCACTAGCCTATATCAAAGCCTAGTTTCTACATCTTCCCAAGGCAAGTGTGTCACTAGCCTATATCAAAGCCTAGTTTCTACATCTTCCCAGGGCAAGCGTGACCACTAGCCTATATCAAAGCCTAGTTTCTACATCTTCCCGAGGCAAGCGTGTCCACTAGCCTATATCAAAGCCTAGTTTCTACATCTTCCCAGGGCAAGCGTGTCCACTAGCCTATATCAAAGCCTAGTTTCTACATCTTCCCAGGGCAAGCGTGTCACTAGCCTATATCAAAGCCTAGTTTCTACATCTTCCCAGGGCAAGCGTGTCCACTAGCCTATATCAAAGCCTAGTTTCTACATCTTCCCAGGGCAAGCGTGTCCACTAGCCTATATCAAAGCCTAGTTTCTACATCTTCCCGAGGCAAGCGTGTCCACTAGCCTATTTCAAAGCCTAGTTTCTACCCTTGCCACATCAAGTCGACTTTTCTTTTCTCGACCCTGGTGCCACTTCACGTAGATCCCGAGTTGTGCCCCTTGTAATGAAAACGCGATAGCCAATCAGCTCGCTGTTCTCATCTTGTATAGCTCCACAAAGATGGTGACAACTATAGGCGATCAGATAACAAAAAATTCACAATTTCATCCCCGACACAAAAACATAGGCAATTGTTGGGTGGTTTAAGGATGAAAGATTTGTGTCAGCAAAGACAGGAAGCGGTAAAATAACTTTCAAATGAAGGTGTACCAGTCGTGGATGTTGATTTTGTGAAACGTTCTCTGATTGGATTATTGATATGTGCAATAGTCCAATCATATTAAGCGCAGGAAAGTCAGCTTAATGTGGCAAGGGTGGAAACGACTTTGATAAAAAGGCCAGTGGACGCTTTGCCTTGGGAATATAGTTGTGAGGCTACACTGAAGGGTGTAGTAATATGACGGACACCAGACTTATTTCTTAGTTTATTGTTTTACTGTTAATTAGATCTTTTAACAATGTTTAAGTTGCAGTGTTATCAAATAGGTGTAATGAGGTTCCGTTAAACCAACATGATGGTTTATCACTGATGGAAGCATCTGTTAAATCATATACTATGGACCTATTTAAATAGGTATCAAAATTTGCATGAAGTATTTTCTGTCTGCATCCATTAAAAACTGCTGTAATGTGTTAACACTCACTTGTTAAATGATAACATATAGGGAATCTATCAGCAGATCAGTTATCACATAGGTAAAACATGTTTTTGCTTAACATAATCAATACAATACTTCACAAGCTTAAAGCATAAGAAAATCAACAAATGTGATGACCAACCATGAGATAAGGGACCTAATGGTTGAAAGCTCACATTTTGACTTCTTCACATATCTTGAATTGAAACTACAGTATATGTATCTTAGGACCATTAAAATACAATTCACAAGCTTCGGCTCATCTGTATTACTTAGATGCATCTTGATGCATGTCATTAAACATTTGGACTCATTTTCAGAATTATAACCAGATAACTGTTTGTGTAATGGTAGCAGTTTCTTAATATGTCTGCGTAATTGAAAGTAGACATGTATACTGAAATGTTTTGAAATGGTTTTATTACATCATGAACTAATGGGAGAAAAATAGGATATTTTTGTACAGTCTGCACACATGGCAATTTTTACGGAAGTAGGTTGACATCAAACATCTGTCTTTATGATGCCACAGCACAATTATATTCTAGCACCCACAAGGTCCCCTTCTCCTGGTGGGTCACACATAAAGAAACATTCTTGACATGCTTACGCCTGTGACAATTTAATAGTTTAAGTTGCCTTGAACATAGACCAAAACCATTGCAACACATCACAGTGCATTTCTGATTGATAAGCTTTGTTACAAAAAAGTGTCCAGTATTTGATTTCTTTTTTAAACCATATTAACCACATTGACATTGGATATTGATACTACCACCCTTGAAGGAAACATCGACACAATACCTTTGACATGAGTATGATTAGGATAATTCTTGGCTAGCAGGCAAGAGCTATGTAAGTTTTTCCCTAAGAATGGCTAGGTGTAATTATGACTCATGCCTGGGGTTCGATTCTCCACACGAGTACAATCTGTGAAGCCCTGTGAACCGAGACACTGTTTAAAGTGGTGTTAAACGCACACACTATTGAATGAAAAAGGCTTCTAAAGGTCATTATACTCACATTGTTCCTTTATGTTGCAGAAGCTATGCATCGTCCACAGGGGAAGACTGTGCACCTCCATCATATAGTGAGGTTACACAGGAAAATACCAGTACAATCCCCCCTGGCCACCATCACCCGGATCAGGATGAACCACCACCTCCATACGAGGAGGCTGTTGGGGTAGAATTGTCCTCATCCACACTCAATCGCTCTTCTCTTCACAATCACACTGACGAAACTACACTGCCAGCTTATACATCATGGACACCAGGTAGGCTATATTGCTTATTTACATCATGGGCACCAGGTAGGCTATATATCTTGTATACATCATGGGCACCAGGTAGGCTATATTGCTTGTATACATCATGGGCACCAGGTAGGCTATATATCTTGTATACATCATGGGCCCCAGGTAGACCATATATCTAGTATACATCATGGACACCAGGTAGACTATATATCTTGTATACATCATGGACACCAGGTAGGCTATATATCTTGTATACATCATGGGCACATCATGGGCACCAGGTAGGCTATATTGCTTGTATACATCATGGGCACCAGGTAGGCTATATATCTTGTATACATCATGGGCCCCAGGTAGACCATATATCTTGTATACATCATGGGCACCAGGTAGACCATATATCTTGTATACATCATGGGCACCAGGTAGGCTATATTGCTTGTATACATCATGGGCCCAAGGTAGGCTATATATCTTGTATACATCATGAGCACCAGGTAGATCATATATCTTGTATACATCATGAGCACCAGGTAGACCATATATCTTGTATACATCAAAGGGACAAGATAGGCCAAATATCAAAAATTTATCCTGCATCAACTACTTTATCACAATGAGCCACTAATTACTTATGTTCCAGTTTGATTACACTTTCTTGCTGTAGGATTGCTAACTGTGACATTAAACCCAATTAACAAACATTTTTGGTTCCCCAACAGGCTGTAACGTAGACACCCCCAGCAATACACTGACTATCCCAGGGCAGGTGGCCCAGTGTTACCGTCGCTGCACATTCCCTACACAGCCCGGAATAGAAACCAGTGGTGGAGGACACCAGCTCACATCTCTCGCAACAGGCCAGACACTTACTACAGCAGAGCTCACTCAGGGCGCTAATGGACCTTGGTCTTCTTCAGGAAGGTTTTTTCTAATTCCACATTTTCTAGGAGTTTTAGCCAATAGGAGAGGAGACCCTGCAGCAAGTATGACTGGGGAGCTACCCCCAGCCTACCAGGCAGTGGACACAACCGGTAGCTCCCCTCTCACCTACCTTCAAGCCATGAGTGTAGGCAACCAGCCTGGTCCCCCACAAGATCACCTAGGGGTACAGAGTCCCCATGAGTCCCGCTCTCTTGCTCATCCAATGGTACCAGACCACCCTGTCGATACCTACCATCTGCCTCCTATGGAGAGCAACCAACAGGGAGTGGTCCCACACTCCAGCTTCCCAAACTCCAGTCTCACCACCTGCAGTCTCCCTGGCTCTGCTGAGACACCATCAAGTCAAGTCTGCTGCGTGACGTCATCCAGTCTGCCCAACTCCAGCATGGCGGCCTCCAGTCTGACGGGTATTGGTGTCACAGGTTCGAATATGAAGACCTCCACCACACCCATGCCTACTATTGCGGGCTGCAATTCTCCTCCCAGGGTTCATCACGGAGGAGTGAGCAGCCATCCCAGCAGCACCACCAGCCCCTCTGCTGCAGCACGCTTCCTGCAGGCTCCACGCAACCCCAACTCTCCCATCATAGATGAACTAGAAGAGGTGGTATAGTCGTAGGGCACAGCTGCATTGCACATGTATGCTAGTTATGTTATGATACAGGAGGTATGATGTTGTATTGCAGAACACAGCTGCTCATGTCAAACATTGATAAGTTGGGGTTGAGTTGTGATACAAATGATATGTACAAATAATTTTTATCTTTTTTACTGAATGTATATCAAGGCCAGACCAATATAATTACTTGTTTTGATGACCTATTATAAAAAATATCTGAAGCAGGAGGGAAAAAAATATGGAAAAAATCATATTTTTTATTTAACATATCAATTACTGAATTTGTTACCAAATGGTGACTATATTGTGCCTATTGCCTATGATTACCATATTTCCTTTTGGGTTAATTATTTTGGTAAATAATGCTATGTTTTAGCTTCAGGTAAAGAGTCTATTTTTTCTGGAACAGGTGGGAGAGAACACATATAATTTAATGTCAGTGTAAATAGGAGTTTTGAGATAAAGAAGTTACTGACACAATTGTTTTCTTTATGGACATTTTGGGGAAATAGCTAAAAGGTCACACAGGTCTGTAAACCAAGTAATTAAGTTGGTCTTGCTCTATTATGTGGAATTTGTTTTATAAAATAATATCAAACTGATATGAACAAATATCCTGCTTTAATTACTTTGGAATTTCGGACAGCCAGATAATGTGCATGAAACAGAAAATAGTCACCCAATCAAACAAATTTACAAGAGTTATTCAATGAGCAATTCAAATTCAAAAGTAATTTTGTAAACCCTTAAATATCTATACATAGTGTATTGTGACATATATATCATAAATAATTTAAGAATATCGTATATATCGTATGGCGCCCCATGTAGTTTTACATCACAGATGTATACACTCAGAACGTGGTTAATATGAGTCATAGCCAACTCTTGCATTTTATAGCGTTGGGGGTTTGGGACATGTAAATTGTATTTCTACATCTTCCCAAGTCCTGTTTCCGCCCTTGCATAACTAGGCTGCAATGATGGAGTTATATTTTGGTTGTACTGACGATGCATAGTCCAATCAAAATCGCGTAATGCAATCAACATCCGGTTCATAGTCTGCCATGCAGATTTCGGTCGTTTGAAGGATTTGCAATGCATGTGTACCGTCTACTTAGCGTCAACAGATATTTTCCAAATTTTCATGTTTTGATCAAGGTGCTCGCTAAGTAAGACCCGTTTCATTACATCATAGGTTTTGATTATCGATCTGACCGTCTTGACTGGGCGTGGCCATTTGAAGCAATAGCATGCGATGTCAGAAGTGAATCTGATTGGTCAATAGGAGGAACATAGAAGGGACATAACTCGTAATATCCACTGGTGCTGCTACAATCAATCCCAGAAATTCCAGCCTAGTTAGGCAAGGGTGGTAACTGGACTTTTTGAATGCTTGATTTAGTCCCAACCTTATGAAGATAAGTGACCCTTAGGGGATTTTCCTACCATGTTCTTGATACATCCTCAGCAAGCTCAGTTATTGCTTCCCACAGTGACTTTGTGCCCATGTTTTCCTACTGAGATAAATGCTGTAGACAGATGGTTTCTTTTAGACATTGGAGAGTTGTAATCAAATTCAGCACCAATTCACACACAAGGGCGGATCCAAGATTTTGACAAAGGGGGATGCACATTGTACCCAAGTCACAAAGTGACTTGTCCGAGGGAGCAGATAACATGTACTGGTATGCCAGAATAAGTTGAATTGTGACCGACAATTAACCCTGTATGACTACGTATGAGGTCCTGCCACTAGCACGTACCATTGTGAAGAAAGGGTCATGAGCGATAATTTCTGCCCTGATAGAGCATAGATACAGAGCAGTGACAATGCTAGCTTCTGACAATGCTTGAGATATATGTTTACATTCTTTCTCCATGTAATTTATGACATTATAGGCCAATTCCCGAGCCTGATAATGTATGATTTGGTCAATCTTACCTAGCTGTGACATGTTTATTTGTTTCTAAGTAACTTCTATCAAACAACTTTTAGCGAATTCTGGTATCAGTTTGTCACACCGACCTCTTAGTAGTCTCGTGTGTCCATGGGAGCATTGTCAATTTCATTGCTATGACCTGCACGTGCACTACATGCGTACACCTTCTCTACCTGTAACAGACCAAATATGTTTGCCAAAATTCTGCTCTCTGCTTTTTGTCTCAAACACATTTTTTGTGAGTTGGTTCAACTTATCCTGGATTACCAGTAAGGTGTCTGAAAAAAAGCTGGAACCGCCAGTGACACAACCTGTGACATGGCATTCTAACAAGCACCTTTGTATGATAAGAGCAATTTGAGTGCCAAGTATGTTGACTATGTAACCTGTTGTATGTGAGGTGTAGTAACTTTGGTCATCAGAAATGTGAATAACACCATGGAAATGCATCACCTACATATCCTGTATCTAGCACAGAAACATCATAAGAACTGCTTCAGGGCACCTTCAAAGGGAAGTAACTCCAAATTATTGTCTTCATCAGCAGTTTGTCTGAGGTTTGATTAGGCGCCAATGAGATAACATTTTGTTATTTTTTAGTAAATGTATGTGCCCTAATGCTAAGCAGTATGTATAAAAAGTTCCATAAACTGATAGAATTTTTTACTATTTGCCATTTGAAATCTTTCAACCATTTTGAAAAATGGCCTTTGAACTTACTGTTTGCATCATTTGTCACGATCAAGTCTAGATCAAGTGTCAGCGGTTACAGGCGGACAACACTAGAGTCTCTCAGTCACTTTTTGGTTCTCAGTCAAAACATGATCAGAAAATTAGAAGTTTAAGGCTCATGACACTGAAGACGAATTCTTAGGGCTACGACAGATTGATTGGGTACAATGTTGGGACCAGACGTCGGTTGATTATGGAGAAATATACCATGGATATTGTTACGAGATTGAACCCGGTAATATTTTCTGTGTATTTCAGCACTTCCTCAGAGGAGAAGTTTTATTTCAGACACAGCTTTTGGCTAGCTACCATGCCTAATTGCTGTGGCAAAACAGCCAAAATGAATCACTTGCTTTTATCTGTCAAGTCGGTTTTGCAGTAATTTCATAAGAAGACATTCATGGGTAATTTGAAATGTATGCTGAGTTCTTCGTGGCTCGTTTCTTGACAATGAATTTTCATGTTACACTACACTGAAAAATGTGTTGATTGGGTCATAAGATCTGAAGATCGAACTAAAATCTAGTTCAAACTGAACCCGGTTGTCGCACAGTTGGAAAGGAAGATGCTGTATGTTGCCCCTGATTATGCAGCATATTGTTACCATGGTAACACAATATGGTCGTCACACTTACACATTTTACCATCATGGGGTATTAAGGCTGATATGAAGGTTGCACAGTGCTATTTTGTGATAACGTATCTGCTTTTGATATTACTGGTGTGTGGTTGTGCAGGTCTATGAGCAGTGGATGTGTGAGAGATGAATGACAGATGGTTGACAGATGGTTGACACAATTTGTATATCTGGGTCATGGATGATGACTGATTACCTCAGCTTGAGTTCACTGAAACTTCCTACATCAAATGGCGACCTCAGTGTGTGTCACATTGATTAAATGGCATTTGTTCTGGGATACTTTCGTACTGAGGCTCAAGGTTTCATAATTTTGAAATATACAACTCAAAATAAGTTAAGGACCACTTGATTCTTTCATTTTAATGTTGTAATATGAATAAATTGGGTGGTCTTTGAATTCTTTTGCTAAGAATATATACTATATACAGATATACACGAGAACACCCTGATATGAGATTTTATATTGTGTACATTTGGGCCAAATTCGTATTTGGATTCACTGTATTTGAAATCTCAAATTCAATACATATTTGATGGTATTATACAACATTGGTTGTTTCAGATGGGTTATAGTCACACATTTTTACAATTATTGGCTGTTTGGTTAAACTTTTGCACAATCTCATTAAAATCAGATCTGAGTTCTCACTGCTGCTGAACAAAGATCTGAGGACATCCCATTACAGGTCACGTCAGAACGACCTTTTGTGAACTTTGACTGACTACTGAAATGACTAACAAGAAGTCCACATCAGCCAATTAGAAAGCAGTTTTCTCGAGCTTTACGGCACTCGTTTCAACCTGGCGACTTCCATTTCAGCCTACGCTTGAAAAATATGTTGACACAGTTCTCGATTAAAATTTTGAAAACTGAACAAACGAACATTCTGGAATGTCTAATATATGGTTGAGATGTATGGCAGTGCTTCCCACGTACTTTGCAACACCTCCTCCGTTGAAATGTTTATCCCACGGTAGCGAGAGACAGACGATAATTTTGACGGAATCAGTCTCACGGGCCGTTACTGTTGTTCGGAATACCCCGTGTTAACGCTTTCGTGGTTGCAAGATTAGGAAACACATTCTGACTGTCACTTTCACGATCTGGTAAGCGACGCTTTGATTGGTCGGATCGAACGTCGTTCTGACGTGACCCATAATGGGATGTCCTCAGATCTCTGTTTAGCGATAGTGAGAACTAAGCATGCTAAGATCTGATTTTAAATGAGATTGAACTTTTGCAGTGGATTGCACATTATTTTTGCAGCATGTGGATTCCTTGAAAAGAAAACACTTTTTACAATGACATCCCCATGTCTCATAAATTGCTCAATGATTTTGATATGAATTGTTTTTGTTTTGCATTTCATGATATTGCATCTGGCCTGTTTTGTCAATGTGTTTATGATTTGTTGTCATATGTTCACAGTTTACAGTTAGTTTTGCTGAAAAATTGGCAGATTATATATTAGCTTTTTTAGCATGTTATGTATGACTTTTTATATATTTTGTTTTGTTATAACAATTCACACTTGAATAAAGGCTGGTAATAATCCAACTTTATCCCTAACTGACTTAATAATATTTTGAATTGTCTTTGGCCAGTAAATTGTGCACTATTACTTAGAAAAATAATTTTATTCAGAATAAAAAATCATGAAAGTATTTTTATCTTTCCAGAAAAAAAAGGAAAAATATGACCCCCATGTATCACATATTTTGTAAACTGTAACAGCAGACATGAATATTTTTCAAAAGTCTTTGTCGCTGTACCTATTTAATGCTTTTACCATTTTGTCGGCAGTTTAAGAAGAGCACCTTTCCCAGTTAATAATTAGCATTTGTTTTGGGAATTTGGCCATTTGTTAACAGATTTGGAAATCTTTTTTGTTTTTGTTTTGAGTAGATATTATG